AGGTTCGTGAATGGTTGGAAATGCTTCCAATGGATGTTTTTGGGGGGATCAGTTGAATCAGTCTGAATCTTGTTGAAAATGTGGAAGTCTTGGATGTTGGTTTAGTCTGGTTCCACACTTGTCTGAGTTTTCTTGCAAATCCAACCTGGACACTGGACACGATATCATCTGGTAATATACGGTTTCACACGGTTTTCTGGCAACTTGCACATGTCCAAATCAGAATCGACATCAGGGTACCGCCGTCGCAGGACATGGACCGCGCATGGACCGCCGTGTTCTGCTGATCTCTTTTCCGAAGGAGTTCCGCCGGGGACTGCTGGGGGCTCAGTCAGATGGGCCGATCGCAGGAGGTCAGTCAGTCCCTCAAAGAGGTCAGTCAGATGTATCCTTCCTCAGTCAGAGGTCGTTCATTTAATAGGCGGGTCATCCCGAATCAAACACCAAGATTTTACACTACAAACACCAGGTCGTTCCCATGTTTTTTCATGGTCGAACGGAAGTCTAGGGTATCCTTGAGGCTGGGTGAATTCCCGTTGGCTCCCATCAATGAGTCGGTTAGCTCGACCGGCTGATGCGGACGTTTGCCCCAAACCAGGCGTCTGGCGGATGACCGTTATGTAGGTGGGAGAAAGTGAAGAGGTGCAAAAGTGAGAACACCCAATCCAGGCCAGGCATTCTTGTTGGAAGCACCCTGCCTCGCCACCAGTTCGAGAGAATGACTTGAGCTTCTCCTGAGATCACCCAAAACAGTTGCGGAGATGGGATTCAACACGACGATCGAAGCCACAGAAGACGAGTGCGTCTTTATGCCAAGTAGGGTGGTGGACAGAGGTGGGCTCACACACACACAAATTCAGAAACTCACACGCGATCTTTATGCTGATAAGCATATCTCTTCTGTCTCTTCATGCTCTGTTGTGGGTCAGGATGGTATGCAACCTTCTGTGCCTTCCCTCTTGACATTGACACTCCCTCCCATGTTTACATCTGGATGCTCGAGGACAAATCAACAAAAGAACACCTTACGCCACCTCTTCATCATTATGAATCTGTCCATATCAACCAATTGTATAACTAAAAAAAACACACACACACACACACTCACTCAGGGCCTGAGCTGCACTCAAACTCTTTCCGCCCCCCAGAACCCCCCAAACATGCCCAACACAGAACAAGCACAGTCATCCGTCATCTGCCCTGCCCTGCCCCTCTGCCCGTGTGTGTGTGTGGTCGTCTGACTTGTGGGTGTGTGGCCTCCATCATAGCATCCAAGCGCGTGGCCATCTTTTCGATCATCTGCTCGCCCACTTCCTGCGACCGAGCGAGGTACAGCTGATCCGAGGATCCGGACGGACGGAAGCGCAGCGGTGGAAGAGCGAAATAGACCCGTCGGACCGTCGGACCGATAATGTGTTTTGAGGGATTTCGGGTGGCAATTGGAACTGTTCGGAAGGTTCATGCGTCGTCTTGATGTAGGTTTCAAGTTTCAACCCATGAGACTGGTACCAATTCAAAATCCGGAGGTCTTTTTGGTGATAGATGTTCTAGAGATTCCTCATAGAATCACTTGAAAGAGATGTCTTAGTGAAACGCTCAATGAGCATTCCAAGTCTTGAGAACATGATCAATGGATTGCCTGCCTCAAGCCCCCGTGGCCGCTCTACCTGCCCAACCCCCAAAACTTATCAACTCATCTGCATGATTTGTAGGAGTTGGTGGGTTCGTCTACCATTGTCTTTGGTGTGAATGTTCACCCAATTTCCCAAGCTGAACAAGGAAGCATCTTAAACGTCAACAGGTCTCTGGTTTCTGGAAACCCGCTCACCCCTTATCCTACCTGCATGGTAATATCCTCCACTGCAATTATTGTAGCCACAAAAGGTATAAACGATCAAATTCTTTCAAGGTGTAATCATCCTATAGCCTACAAACGGACACTTCTCAGAAAAAAAAAACAGAAGATTCCTTCAAGGGCAGCCCCCCTTCCAGGGCCCCTCAAATGCCCCATGTCCTTTTTAGCCGGGCACGCTCTCAGCTTCCCCATCCGACCCCATCAGCCTCCCAGAGCTGTCCAGACATCTCCTGGGTGCCACTTGGAACGACCCACCCCGGAACTACGGCAGACCAGGTAGAGACCGAGTAAAAACCACCTGACCGGCAGACCGGAACCTAGCAGACTGTTGAACAGTGCATGTCTGCTGAAAAAAAGAACCATCAGGTTCCCCGGAGCTGTTCATGGCTGACGGATGCTGACTGAACATCCCAGCTGTACTGCGCATGTTTACTACCCTGAAGAAAAAGGACCTCAGCTCGGTCTGTTTTTTGTTCGATCAGTTCGCCCTGTTGGACGTTGTTCAGTTCGGCTCACCCAACTGCTTCCCTTGCATTGGTCGACCAACGCAAGCTGTTTGGCCCGATGTGTCAGGATCGCGGAGGCTCCGCTCGAAGACGATGAGATCGTTCCATGTGGTTCCCTCAACCAAAACCACCCATCGATTACCATGGGGCAACTGGGGCAGAAAACGACATTCATCGACATCGGTCCCTATCAAAAGTGTCTGGAGACATCAGTCATATCATGTCCTAGCGTTTTCTGAAGCGATAGAACACATCGACATGAGCCCTATGAATTTACCAAGCCTAGGAATTGGACTGATGTCTATCCTGATCGAATTTAAACATTGGTCAATAGTCAATAGTCCCAGGATACCAGGATAGACATGATCACTCATATGTCTAATGGACCTTCTAAAGACCAAGGTTCCTTCTGCAAAAGAGCCATGAACCTAGGTGAACCCAAGATGGGCTTCGCATGGCTTCGCTGTTAAGCATTTCCAGTGTGACTTGTGTGCTGACCTTGGAGCTGAAGTTCTCGCCAGGACTCATCCCTTCCCTGACCCTCCATCCCCAACACGAATACCCCCGAACCACTGGTTGGCTGGTTCAATTCAATGAAGAACATAATTTTAGCAGACACACATAGTGTCTGCGTGCATCCTCTAGAATCCTGCAAAGCCCTTTGCAAACATTCCAACCAAATTCACCTATAGGCCCCCACCATTGCTTTCTGTCGAATTATGTCGAATTCCTAGCATCTGCTCAGCTGCTTTTCGACCTTGCTCCGATTCACTTCATAGATCCAGGGTCCAAAAGAACCGCTTCCATCGCCCAACGAAAGCCAGTTCCTATTACTCAAGACCCAAGAACCTCTCAACAAAAGCCAGTTCCGATTATTCAAGCCAGTCCCAACAAAAGCCAGTAACCTCTCCCAGTTCTATTGACCAAACAAAACCCCCCAAAAAGCCGATCGCCCGCTGCCCGCTGCCTCGATCGCCTTCGTCTGACTTCGCAGCCGGGCCACCTGCGGCGCTTCGCCCCGTCCGTTCCCTTGGGAGGGCTCGAGCGGGGCGTTCAGGAAGGAAGGAGGGAGCAGATACAGTCGGGAGGTGAAGCCTCTTCTTGGTTGAACGAGCTGTTCAAGCACTCACCACAAGCTTAACTAGAATGGCAGGGGGCCGCAGGGGGCCGCTGGGGATGCGTGCAGTCAGCGGCCAACGAAGACACTGCACGTGTCCCGTGAAAACGTACCTGTCTGTTTCAACTGTTGATGAGCTGTCTATTGTGCCCTTGCTATCCCTTGCTTGTATCGCTTGTATCTAATTGTGTTCTCCCACGTGCGTCTTTGCCTTCTTCAGATCAGAAGGCGGGAATAGGCCCTCGCCAAAAGGATCGTGTGTGTGGCTCCTGGTGGCTCCTGGTTCCGAAAGCCTGAACCAGTTCCTCGTCTCGTTTCGAATCTTTAAAACAAGTTTAACGTGTTTAAACCCTTTAAAAAACTCCAAGGTCTCCATGCCACAGAGGCATCCGGAAGAGTTGATATCATATACCAAAATTGTGAAGAAACCGGCATGCACGATTTTGGCACGTTGGTGGCACGAAGCCAAGTGAAGGTCTAGGGAATCTGCCAGCATTCCTTGCTGAATCAACTGGCTTTGTTGTCTTCTTTCCAAACAGCATACTCCGATTCATATCAAAAAGACTCCTTCTAGCTTGATACTGTAGATGCCCTAATGAAATATATATATATACATTCATACAGTACTCCTACACCTTCACACAATGCTGAATATACCTTAATATATTCTACATTTTGGTTGAACAACAAACAACATGTCGTGAGCAAACAGGGCGGACTCATGGTTGTCGGATTGTTTGTTTTTTTCTTTTTCGGGATGCTGGCAAACAATCTGCTTGCCTTCCCAACGACCTGCTAGACTGAGTCAACGCCGCCCCCAACGCCCGTTGAACGACTGGCCTCTTGGTCAAGCACAGACCATCGCTCGTCCTATGTGGAGTGAGGATGTATGATCAGGTGTTGATATGTTTGTTCCACTGGCTGGTAGTCATCAGCCGCCAGTGGCAAAGAGTAGAAATGCTATGAAATGCTCACATACCACAATGACATACAATGACCATATCTGTATAGTGCAGGGAGATGTGTCGTTGTTTGGTTCAAGGTGCATTTGCAACATGAATCAAAAGAAGTTCAAAGCCTGAATTACATACCGCTACAAGAAGGGTATTTGGAAAACATGCTATCATCAAGCAGGATGATTTGGTAAGCTTTATCCCAGTGGTCATTGATCATATTGATCACCTTCTCTTCTTCCAGCAAAAAGTGCCCAACTTCCCAACCTCATCTCTCACCACCTCAACAAAGCCCACCCAGAAGATCCGAACCAACGAACGAACTCCACCGAACACTCCACCGAACTCAACACCACCCCACCCACCCGAGGACCCGACCCGACCTCCGAGACCCGACGTCCGACCCGGTCCCATCCACCTCCCCCGGCGGTCCGCGCAGATGGCCGGACGGTCCTCGCTCTTCCAGCGCTCCTCAAAGACCTTCTGCTGAGCCTGGACGGGGCGGAGCGAGCTCGGCGGCGAAATGGAGCAGCTCGCGGTTCTCCGGCGGTAGACGGTGCGGACGTGCGGACGACCGGGTTAGTACGGCGGTCGAAGGGGAGCCCCCAAGAAGGAAGGAGAAGCTATAGAGATCAAAAGGACCATATAGCAAGCTGTGTCCCGCCTTAAAAGACAAAACGTGTCCCATCTTCATTCCGAGCAGACATCTCCACTGTCAAATCCAATGCTCCCATCTGCTCCCAATCACTCGTGATCACACACGCCTCCAGGTTGGAGTGGAGCACTTTCACCACCTGGCAACGAGAGTCCCGGGGCCTTTTTGGACGCACCGAAGGTCCAGTCCGGTCAAACAGGTGGGAACCGGAGCTGTGTGGGAAAGAACATCCTGAATCCACAGGAAAGCCGGTGAATCGGATGTGGTTCTGTCAGTGAGAACAGATCTTGTAGGCAAGGAGGCTCTTGGATCGCAAGGATTTCCACAACACCAGCAAAAAGACTGTGCCTGTTGATGTCTGTTGCATGTTTGTGTGCTGTTTGCGGTTTGCATTCCATTCTGCTTTGATTCGTTTCGTTCCTACCATACCAAAATAAACCGCAAGAAAGGCAGGGCAACCCATCCAAAACACTTGACAACACACGACAACACCTGGCCAAAATGCTGGACCACGACATGCGAGGTTCACAGAACAAAATCTTTGAGGCCCAGGCATATTGTGTCATTAGAACTCGGCCTGGAAAGGGGAAGCATTTCGAAGCCATAAAAAGGAAACGGATGGTCAACCAAGAATTTCAAGAAATACCCATGGCCCATAGTTATGACTTAGAGTCACAATTGTCAATTGCCTCTTAAACCGTAACCAAACACCATCAAAAAAAACCTTACAGTATGTATATATATATATTATATAATATATCCTACTACTAAGAGGAAAACACCCTATATCAACCTTGACCAACCAAACACACATTCGTTCAAACAATCATCAAAAACAACAACAAAACACCACATCACCGACCGACCGGTCAGGCCCCGGTATGGTATGACCCCTTCGACCGGGACGAGGAAAACGCCTCCTCCCGGTTCTGCTTCAAGGCCCTGGAAGCCGCGTCCGCCGCCACCTGGACCGCGGGAGCGGCAGGGGGAGCCGGGGGGGATCTATAAAGGGATTATAAAGGGTGATCAAAGCTGCGACAGTGTGGTGTGTTTTTTAATGCTGTTTGTTTGTTTGTGTGTTGTGTGTTTGTTGTGTGTTTTATGATGTTTTGTTTGTTTTTGTGTGTGTGTAGGTTTCTGCTTGAAACGGTATTTGTAGGCATGCCTAGGCACCCTTTCTGGTGGGAAAACGTGTTAAAACTTAAAACGGTGTGAATTCTTACAGCATGTTGCCATCAAGCAACTCGTATGAGAGACTTTGCTACAACTAAGGTGGGAGAAGCTTTCTGACCCATGAAGCATCATGAAGCTCTCTCTCCCTCTTCTTCTCGCCCTGACGAGGTAATGGAGTGTGCCATACTCAGGTGGCGGAGCCTGACCAACTGAAAGTAGGCAGCTCTCGATTCGAGAGACCAATCGATCCAGCAAGCTATCAATCGATGCCTCACCGCAGAACTGTCAGGGTTCTCTCTAGAGGGGAAGGTTCCACGCTTCCAGAAAAAAGCATGCAGGCCCCAAACCCAATGATCCCTTCGGAACAGTTTAAAGGGAACTGCTAGGACCAGAACTTTGTACCAGGTTTCCCTATGACCGGGTTTCTATTTATGAACGCTTGGTCCAAGTCCATGCCCTTTGATTGCCTGTCTTGTTTGAGGGCAATTCGGAATTCCGCGGTTTCTTGGAGCCCTTGAAGCCCTGGCTGGAGAGGCGCCAGGAGAGCTTGACGCACGATTCTCCGCCATGGATCCTACGTCGATTCGGTGGACGATGTCTCAGAGGGGGTCGCCGACCCAGTCTCCGATGATGGCCCCTCCGGCCTTGGCCAACTCCATGGGGTGCTCCTGGTCGCAAAAAGCGCTCGCCGTGGGGTCACGGGAAAGTCCAGCGGAAGGTGGGATTCCCGCCAGAATCCCAGGGGTGCTCACTTGGGGTTCATGGTGGTTCCAGGTGATGGCCAGTTGCAAAGTTGGCCAGCACTCACGGAACTCTACCGAGCTCACTTGGGCTTCCCTGCTCAGCTTTGCCATTCGCTGGGATGATTTGGAGCTTGGAGCTTGGGCACTTGGACACTTGCAGAGCTCCATAGAGCTCCCACATCAGCCAGGCACTGGAACCCATTTCTTTTCACGTCGACGGTCCACTCGACCGACGGGCCATAAGCTAAGCAAGCCATTCGACGGGCCAAGAGAACCCCCAAAGAAAACATGGTTTGTACCAGGACCCTCCAAGCAGTGCCCTGTCTGGAAGCCTATAGGTAGTGCGGGGTAGTCCAGCCAGGACACCCCGACAGGAGGGTCCAGGTACATGGTCTGTACTCTTTTTGGTGCGGTAGTTCAAACCCACACATCACGACCTAAGGTTCACACACCACCTGCCTTCTTCTGGGACCGGTACAAGTACCAAACACATCCCATGCATCCCAATGGTACAGGTCCCGCCTGGCGCTTGGTGCCCATTAAATCCTGAATCTCGCGGGTGAGATCCACCTCAGCCGCTTTTAGTTCGAAGATGTTCGAAGAAGATCCTCTCCCTACAAGACCTCATGACCTCATGAAATACTGGAGTTGGTCATACAAGTTCACACTATTCAGGAAGGTAAAGGACCAGGGTTTACTGGCTCGGACTGGACTTGTAGGGTCTAACTCTCATGGGGTGGGTGCTCTCATGTGCTCTTGGTGCTCGCTCTTGGTGCTCGTGACGCTCGGATTCGGTGGTTGGAGCAGTCAGTTGGATAAATCGAGCAGTCAGGGGGGGTCCACCTTGTTCATCTCTCCATCTGGCAGCAATTTTTTTAGGGCTCCAGTCGTACCTTTGTTTCGAAGGTGGGACTGACTGGGGTGGGTGCCAGGAGGGTCCAAACACCTCCTGAGGACGTACTTGGGGCCCTAGGGCTTGACACGTCGCATGCATCATCTGATGATGACGCTGGACGCTGGACGTTGTTTCACGCTGAAGCCTTATGGCATGGACAAAGACCTTGTCACAAGGACGAGCAACGATGACCTTGCATCTGCAACTCTGCAAACACATGCCTATAAGTCATGGCTCTGGTCTCACATCAAAATTATAGAACTCTGTTGGGGATCCCAATATCCATTCTGCGAAGCATCCTCCTTGAGACTGCCTGGGCATGTTATTCCATTTCTTGCAACGTTGGATATCGCACACTTTGATCACTTTTGGCATTTGTGCTCCCCACTCGCCCGACTTAGCCCCCAACACCGTCCTTTTGTGCTGCATGACCGTCATCACCCATCCGAATCGCCGCACCAGGTGACCACCTTCCCAGCCTTTGGGGGTGTGGTCGCTCCAAGTTCCGGCTACACCCCAACCTCAAGCCTGACACACTCCCTCCTTTCGCACCAGCCTGGGTGAAGTGACTGCGTCGTGACTGCGATGTCCGTGTTCGAGCGATGTCCGTCCGCCGTTTCTCCCCCGGTACGGAAGTCGCTCACTGTGCTGCCCCGGCCATGCAGCCTTTGAGCTTGCCGATCTCTTTGCTGCTGAGCTGGTCCAGCGATGCTTGCCGCAGGCTGCTGTTCAGGCGGAGCAGCTCCTGAACAACGGGCGGGCCAAAGCCAAAACCAAATCGACATGGCACACGGCAAAAACCACGGAAGTGGATGCCATGGCCGCGGGAAAAAGAACGAGGTGCCTTTTTCTTTGAGTAGGTCTAGTGATGCAGTCGTGCATGTCATAGACATTGGACATTGTCCTCAAGTCTAAGAGGACCAAATATCCCAGCGCGACTCGCCACCTCAGGGGAAAGGACGTCACAGAGAAACCAAGTTGACCAAGTCGACCAGGTGAAGAGTTCTTTTTCGTATATCGAAACCAGGCTGTCCGAATTGTGCAATGCCACTGCTGTTGCAGCACACCCGCACACAAAAAACATGTGCCGCGCTGCGCAGTTCCAACCAACGGTCGGTGATCTGCTGTGATCTGAGCTGCGGTTGTTTTCGCACGTCAGTGAGGGGTTCCCTCACTGGCTGTGCGTGCCCAAAGGTTGCAAATAGGAGAGGAGTCTTGAGACATGACAAACATGCAAAGCGAGTATCTTAAGCATGTCCTGTCCCCAGAGCCCTTAGATTTTGCAAAGAACTTTAGTTTTTCGGGGGGCATACCAATGCAACAAGTAGCCTTCAGCCTCATTGCCCTTTCCAAATGCAGCTGAGGCGAAAACAGCTGCCTACAAACGCATAGAAGGCTACAGGCGCCATGGCAACATCCTTGCAACCTCAGAATATCTTTGCAATTCTTTAAGTACATGGTCTTCCTTTCTTCTCTCAACTTGTTAAACTGCTGACATATACTATATAATCATATAGAATCTATAGAACTGCTTTTGGAAACAACATATCAGGATTCACATGGATTCACCCACCACTTCACCACCTTCCAATCCACCGGCTGGACCTCCTTTGCTTGAAAACCCCCCCGCTCTCCACCTACCTTCCCTCGGCCCCGCTCGCCGCTCCTCCACGTGGCTTCGCAAGCGCTCGGTCTCCGCCTGCTCAGCCCGGCGGCCGCTCTCCAGCTGGCTCAGCAGCTCGGCACCTGGCTCAGCAGCTCAGACGCCGCTGGGGGGCGGGCGAGCGGGCCTCTATATGGGTTTTCCTCGTGAGGTCATTGGAGGTCGTTGGTTTGGTGATCCATGGTGCAGGTCATGGCTGGTCTGGGTGGCTGTTTGTATAGTCCTGGTGGGTCTGTTGGAGTTCTTGGGTCCGGCACGGAAGCGTCGTTGGAGCAAGGTCTTTTGAGAAGGTCTCCTGTGTCGTCCGACGGAGAGTTGCAGGGCTGTCTTTGCGGAGGGAGATGGCAACTGGATACAACAAGCAAGTCACATGAGACCAGAGCAACAGTGATCGTAATGTGTTTGCTTGTGTTTGCCAAAGTCCGTACACCTGAGTCACCTGAGAAGCTGCAAAACGAAAGCCAGCGTTACCATCGGCCTCTGTAAAACTACACCTTACCATTCAGATGATGCAAATGATGCATATTGCATTTCTTGCATCACCACCCCTTAAAAATCACAAAGAATCACCTCCAAAACAACCTCAAAAACCTAACACCACCTAATTTGGACTTCGTTCGCCAAACACAACTCAGCTGGCGCCTTCCACGAAGGCCGGCTTTCGTAATGAGAACACAACTCGACACATATCTCATACACGTTCTCATTTGTGTTTGCCAAAGCCCTTTCAACACATCTCGATCACACATGTGTTAGGAATGTGTTTGGGTTTGTGTTAGGTTTTGCACAAAGCAACTGCCAGCGCCGGCAAGATATGCAATGGCACCGTGGCACGGCAGGGGTGGCTCAGTCATGAGCATCATGAACTACCAGTATGCCCAAGCCGCGAAGGCGCCCTTTTTGAGCCCCCCAAAAAAAGAACGGTGCGTGAGTTTGCCAAGTTTTCTATCTTTTCAAACGGGCTCCTGATGGGTTAAATTCATCCTTGGGATCGGTTTTCTTTTGCATCTACCAAGCCCTTTGCAAAACTCCCATGGCGGAAGATGGAGGGGCTTCACCACCTGGTGTTGTCTTCCATCCTGGCCATGCCATCATATGCCATCCACATAACCAACTGATTTCCACTGAGTGCACCAAGCCCTTCCAAGAGTTCATCCGGGTGCCATGGCCCAAGTTTTGCATCTTCCAAGAGTCTTTGTTACTATAGTAGCTTCTTGTTACTATAGTAGTAATGCCCTTAGCTACAAGTAGCGATACCCTTGTTCCTAGTAGTGATGCCCTTTGTTCATCCCGGGTGTCGTGGCCCGCCAATCGAGCTGGCCTAGGCCCAATCCAGCTTCCGCCATGCCCACATCGCCTAGGAAAGGCTCAAATGGTTTGCATGGCGATTCGTCGTGCACTTCTGGAAAGAAACCATGCTGTCCAAAGGCTTCAGCATATTTCAGCATCAAATTCCCATAGGCCCTGGGATGATCAAGTTCCAATCCCTATGTTGGTGAAGGACTGATGGGGTGAAGGACTGATGTCCAATCAATAGAACTGGTGTAAAATCTGACTGGCCCAGATCAGGGTCGTGAGACGAGTCATCTCATTCATCTCATCATTTTCTCAAGCAAGGTTCTACCTCATTCGTCCCAAACGCATCGCACAGCTGGCTCACCTAGTTGCCCCAGATGCAGACGACAGGGAACTAGTCCCTGTATAAACTGCTAAGGAGAAGATGGATGTCTGTCAATGTGGTGTTTCTTGGAACCCCAAGTAGTTTAACTTGCATTAACTTGCCGTATTGCTTGATCGCCTTACAAGCCAAAAAGATCTTTCAGCACCTCTCACCAATCCAAAGAGGTTGCCCAACTCCCCCTTCCGTCGCCCCTCCGCACCGCGCCCCTCACCCTCCGCTCCGCGCCCCCCCTGCCTCGTCCTTCCTCCACGGTCTGTCGCAGCTCCTGGACGCAGCGCTGCGCCTCCTCGCGAAAGACTTGCCGCCAGCGCTCCAAGTCCGACATGATGTACTGCCTCACCAGCTCCGTTGGTCGTGCCGCGCTCGCGCAGCGGCCGGAGCGGTGCCGCGGCACGCGCCGCGGCGGTCGCGTTGGTAGTGCCGCGCAGGTCGTGACCGTCGTGGTGAAGTTGTGCGCGTGCGTCGAACCGTGGCCACCGCCGGAGGAGGAGAGGAGTTCGGGCGGTCTTTGTGGTGAGCGTCCTTGGGATGACCTCAATGGTAGGAAACACAACAAAAAACTGTTCGGGATTGTCCGGGTATGCCCCAAGGCCGGTGCTACCTGGGCATAGAGATGCGAAGGTGTCGAACATGCAGCCGCTAGAACAGCGGCTAGAACAGGGGATAGAACATGGAGACAGCAGGAACAAGTGCTCACTTTCCAGTCAATCGCTGCTTCCCAGCAACCCGATGGTCCCGGCGACTCCCCCAAACACCGGACATCCGCTACTCTTGAACGTCTCACAAATAGCCTCGTTGAAAGATGTTCAGCTTAAAGCACTGGCAAAGAAATGCTATGGATCCATTAAATCACCATCCTACAAAAAGAATCGCACAAAGAACCACAAAACCACAACAACATGCAAAACAGACCAACTATGACCAACTGATGTGGATCACCGAACTCCTCCTTTGATCAATTATGTTTCCATCCAAACACCCCAGCCTCAAGTAGGTGGTGCTCTGGGTGTTGGGCCTTCAGCGTAGAACCGGGTTCGGCGAGTCGGACGGTCGACCCGGTGATCGGCCAGCTTCGCTGATTCGATCGGTTTTCACTCACAGCTGTCCGCTGGTACAGGAAGCTGCACAAGATGCTCCTAACATCGAATAGGTGGACTGTGTTTACAGGAACCTTTGGGGCTGACACGCAAATGTTCAGTTGCTGGTGGAGAGTTCTTTCTGTTCAAATCTATTACTTGGAGGGTGATGGATTAAGACTACCTTTCTTGCCTTTTGCTATGAGTTGGCCTACTGTATCTTGAAATCCCAAAATCTTTGGCCGGGTTATATAACTATAAGCTGCAAAAGCCTACTACTACTCGCAGCTACTGAACTAGAGATGAGATGTTAAACCAAACACGTATTTGGCACATACACAAACAAAAGGAGAGACTGCCATGAAACCTGATGAAGATGGACCTTACCCAGACACTCCATGGTACTGCCATATATGCCTACATTGACCCCCCAAAACCACCCCAATGTAGGCATATATGGCATCCATGGAGTGTCTGGGTTATGGAAGACGATGTTCCTCTACAACCCAGTAGTTGTCCATCGCACGCACGGTGACGGTCGCCGTGTGCGTCGAAGCACGAACCACGGTCCATCGGTCCACGGTTCGAAAGTCCTCGACGGTCCCCCGAGTCCCCCAGAAACCAGAACCGACCGGTGTCTAAGAAGGACAACAACCTACCAACCCACAAGTTTGCAGCTGGATTCTTGCGGGATTTGAGGCATGAACCACCGCGTATCACCGGGACGAATGCACTGTTCGTCAACCCTGCTGGATCCAACTCGACCGCGCTGCCCAGCCTGACCCAAACATTCTCGAGCTTCGGTAAAGCCTCTGGCGCCTGGCACAAGAGAGGTGAGGCTCTGCCGTTGGTTTTCACGCTGGGAGAGGTCATTTTCAACTTGGATGGTTTGTTCGTGTCCCTCTTTTGTCCCTTGGGACGGACCACCAGAAGCGGAAGATGCATCGGTCGAACAACCACACGATGGACGAGCACATGATATGTCCACCAGACTCGTGTGGTTCGGGGAGCACATGCGACCGAGCCACCAGTTTCCCAGACCCCGGTCTTCACGTCCAAAAACCTCATCCTTCCCAGGACTCGGGAAAAAGGTTGATGTTGGAGTTGGCTACGCTTCAAATTTGGGCATGCCACATGCTGTTGAACCGAACCGCGGTCGTCTTCTTCGTCGTCTTCTTCTTCTTCTTTGCCCTGCCTGACCTACTACAAACACCCAGCTTAAGGTTGGTTGGTTGGTTGGTTGGTTGGTTGGTTGGTTGGTTGGTTGCGAAGGCAACAAGCTTGCGCAAGCGCTCAGGGAGCCATATCCCCAAATAGGAATGAGTGGTCGCTGCAAATCGCATGCAACAGCATCATGTGATAGGATGTCAAACCTGCACTCCCACCATGCTAGATAACATTTAACAACCCTTTTGCTCTAGAGAGCAGGGGTCAACTCAAGCAGATATGTTGCTTCAAAACCATGCTACAAGCGCAGGGTTTAAGTCACATCAGTCGGCGAAAAGTCACATCACCCCATGGCACACCGCATTGGAAGGAAGTCACATCAGGTGGAAAGAAGTCACATCAAAACATGTAAACCCCAGTGGCACAGCGCCGCCGAAGCAAGTACAGAAAGAAGACAATTATAGAAAATTCCTCCAGTTGATACGACTTAAAGCGAGGCCCCAGTAGAGAAGAAGAAGCACTCCCTTTTGCCACCCCCAAAAAGGCCACTTTGGCGCACCGAAAGCACCGCACCGTCCCCACCTGTGCCGTGGCGGGCGCTGAGGTGTTCGTCTTCTCGCCGAGCTCGTCCGACCTCGCCGGGAAGCCAAATGAAACGAAAAGGGGACGAAGAGGAAGAGAAGAGTGTTCTTTTGAGATATAGAAGGGTGTTTTGTTTGGGGTTGACTCGACTTGTATTTTTTGCCAGAGGCATATTACGCATATTATAGGCATCATGTGGCCTCAAGGTTTTTGTGGGCAGGTTTGAAATGGTTTGAAACAAGAAACAAGGCTGGCATGAGCAGAATCGGATTTTGAAATGGATCTTGCTTGGGTTTCCAAGAAAAACCTGACTTCGCTGGCTGGCTCAAAAGCTTGCCCATTCTTTGTTCATCCCCACATCCACCAATCCATCAGAAGGACCCAGAAAGTACAGTGAGTAGGGCAAGTTGGGCCATACAAGCACTTGGCCCGACTAGACAGTAGAGGTTTCCTCCGCGTGCCACCAGTTCTTGTGTCGTCCCACAGATCACAGCAAACCACAGCTGCAGCTCACCTCACTTGCTCCGGTTCTTTCGTCAAGAGCAAACGCTAACACTGCTCGAGACTGCTCGATACATCCCTAGATCTCCACGCAGTTTCCGGTCAAAGCTGGTCAATCCTGGTCAAGAAATCCCTCCCAGCTCCCAGATTGACCATCACTTCCTAAATCCTCCATCCATGTTCCTGCGAAATCCAAACTGCATGAGGTCTCCTTCCCAGCTCTCTCCAGCTGCGCCCGCACCGCTCCCCGCCTCGGAGCGCCTCCTTCGATCCGGCCGCGCGGCGTCAGCGCCGGCAGCGCCCCCTCCTCGGGGATGCGCGCCGCGCCCAGGGCCATGGCGCTGGGCAGCAGGGGTGGCGGAGGTGGCGGGTTCGGTGTGGTTTTGTGCGGGCAAGTGAGTGAGGAGTAGGGGTGGAGGGGAGAAAGTGGACGATATTTAAATTAAGCTTTTAATGGCAGTTGAAATTAGTTGGGTGGGTGATGTATAATATATAATACTTACTAGGGAAAGATAGACTTTAGCCTGAAACTTGAAAATACGGCAGGCGCAGGCCGCGGGCATCATGGAGCTCTGGGGTTAGGTTCCTTGAAGAGTCTTGCGTTCATCTGCAAGATGTTGCATTCAAAGGCTGTGGCAGTGGCAAGCTTTGCTTGCAAATCATTAAACTGCTGCTCTTTGGCTTAGTAGAGCCGTCGGTGACTGCGAGCAATGCACTGAACTTATGACAGAACCAAACGGGAAACCATCAATGGGATCCCCAAGTGGCGTGTTGATGTATTTATGACTGCAACCCTTTCTAAGCGAACAGATTTCTACAAACTAACATTGGTACGAAATCTCTGCCTTCTTGGTTGATTACAAAACGGTGGCCATGGCCCTTGTTTGGTGACGCACACGTCCAAGGCAACTTCCCAGCTCTGTGGAAGGGACTACAAACCAAATCTGATCCCTGACCACTCAACAAGGGAGAAACTTGGGATCCTGACGAAACGCGTGGGAATGCGCTGGGAACGTGTTGCTTGTTCTTGTACATGCTCTGCTTCGACAGAGTGCGAAAACAGCTCACCGCTATGTTTCGCATGACCCGCTGATGTTTTGCCCCCAAAACGGCCACCGTTTGGAGGGCAAGCCGTGGCCGATTTCAAAAAGTCGTCCACTTCCAAGTATATAGTCAACTCAAAAGCCCACTTCCAGGCGCCAAAAGCGCCCAAAACGTCGATGTCCTCCTGCCAACCAACCCTTCCGGCGCGCTCCGTTTCAGCTCCTTTGCTGCTCCCCCACTCCGCGTTTGGGTCTCGCGCGGAGCCGCGGAGCCGCGGCCGAGGTCCGTTCCTCGGTGAACGACCCGGTGGGACCGCGGTGAAGCCAACCGAACGACCCTGGAGTCGGACAGCTCCGGTGAAGCTAAGCCGTGCGGGCCCCCTTGCACAATGGGCACACCATATAATAGATATATATATATATATATGCGGCTATGAAGTAGATGCGGCATCTAAATCAGCAGGGACTGTGCTTGAATGAGTTGGATTGAGTTGGATGGACCATGATGGATTACTCCACATTGAGTTGGAGCTCCCTCTCCCTCTCTCCCTCTCTGGATAACATCGGCACCACATCTGATGAGAGAAATTATTGGTGATGAGATCCCTTGTTTCCACTAAGCTGCATGCTCCTATCCGTGCAGGTTTCACTTCTGACCACTCTGGACGGGGTAGTCTGACTGTTTCAGTCCAATGGAGTAAAGCACCAAATCCTTTTAAGTCTTTAGAGTGTATTGTATTTCTGACTGTTTCAATGGAGTCAAGCACCCCTTATATAAGTCTGCAAGCACCCCTTGACGTTCCCTTTTCTCTTGTAGATACTTCTGACTCTGCTCTCACATGGCAGTGGATGGCCATCCGCCTCGTGAGTCTCGACACCTCGTTCCCCGGTGGGCCATCTGCGCCCTCCATCGACGATGTGTTCGTCAGAGTGAAGATTCCAGTGGATGGAGTACCCTGGACCACTCAGGTTTATACACTACTCCAAAAAGGTGTCAGGGAACGACTATGAACATGCTTTGGTATAGTTATACTTGGTATACTTACTACAGTATAGTAGACACCAAGATGTACTCCAACATGTCGGCCAAAGCTTTGGATTTGCTCCCTTCATCGAGGCCCTGTCACGGTTCGGCTCCTCCCTTCGCCCCACGGCGGACCTGGACCGTCCACGGCGAGTTTGGCGTCGGCCGCGGCGGCAAGGGCATGGGCGTGGGCGACGGCCTCGTTTTGGGCCCAGTGGGCGGGGCTCTGCCAGGTAGGTCACATGACTCAACTGGCCCGTTGGTGAGGGCGGACGTTTCTGATCACCCAATGGTTTCATAGGGTCGCTATACTTGGTGAGCCGGTCGTACGTTTAGCATCGTTTTAGCTATAGCAGCTATTCCTAGCCTTGAGGAGGTGGCTGTGGAAAGCGGAGATTGGTCATTTGGGCAGTTTGCCTGTGCTAAGTCCTTGAAAACGTTTGATTTAGATTTGTACGCCGAATGTCCCTGCCACCTGCTCATTTAATAAGCTTGAATTATGAAATGTCTACAACACGAGTCGTCTTCCAGGTGGTCAATGCCTTCCTCATCCTCTTCACATCGTGTTGTCTCACTTCTTCCCAAGGCCCATCCGCACTCACCCTCACCCTCCCGGTGCTCGTCCTGCCGTTCCTCGTTCTCTTGAACCGCCACGTTGAACGAAAGAAGCGTCCTGCCGTCGAGCTGTGCTTGGGCCGTCCAGCGTGCACTTGGGAGAGTCTTCACATGTCTTCACCGGAAGCCAGAGGGGTGGAAAAAGCCAGGGGAAATGTTGATCAAGCTCCTTAAAGACAGCTGCTTCACTAGCGGGTCAGACACACAAAAGTACTGGCCACACACAAATTGACATGAGTGTGGTGTGGGTGCAAAATGATGACCCTCTGCCTTGTAATCCGGTGAACTGTCTCAGGATGACCATCCTAGTTACTTTACAGTAACCTGGCATGGGTAACCCACAAGCAAGTGACGCATGTTCACAAGTTACTTCATGTTCCCACAAGCAAAGTTACTTTACTAAAGGTGATACAATCTCACTGGAACCACTAGCCCCCTAGCCCTGGGATTGCACTGATTGCACATTGAGCTGTGGGGATTTGGGGGGAACATGTTGCTGGTAGGATGTTCAATAGGCATCGCATGGCTCCTTTTATTCAACTTCATCTGGAAATCATGCCCCCATCCGATCGAACAGTCTTCCCTACATCCACATCCAGCTTCTCCCCCTGCTCGTCCTCTCCAGTCTGGCGTATGCATGGCGTCCGTCGCTCAAAGGGACACCAGCTCCGCAGCCTTCATCACGGTCCGCTTGGTTGGCAGAATGGAGCCACCGTGGAGACGCATGATCAGCACCTGTGGATGACACGCTGGGATTTCTTCTAGGAAAGGTCTGTGGTGCTGGAAAAAGGAGACCAGGTGGATTGACACAAAGGGGACTACAGTACCTGGTTATGTTCACTTAATAATACAGGTTTCAAATTGCCAGCTATATAAGCGTTCTTTCCCGAACATGGTGCACTCACAAACCATTCTGGGCCAATGCCCAGGGACGACCAAAGAACCAGCAAAATAAACAGCATCCAGCATCCAAAGCACGTTCAGCTTCAAGATTCTCCTGTCCTTCAGCTTCAAGATACCCCTTGAATCGTACACACCATTAATTGTCTGGCTCAAAAAAACAACATTGGTGGTGCGCAACCCCTTGCGGTCATTGTTTGTCCACAGCTCAACCCCTTGCCCCTCGAACGACCAATACTTCATTGAAACATGTATAATATACTATGTATGCAATGGATAGGGAAATGGAACTTGTTGTTCAACAAACATGTCCCTCCACCCCTCCATGCGAGACCTCCTAAGAATAATCTTCACACCAACCTCGCGGAAGATTCGGAAGCCCAGCAGCGCTGCAACGCCCTCCCCGCCCTCCCCGCACGCCACGGTGCCACCGCGGTGCCACGGAGATCAAGACCAGCAGTTGCCCCAGCAGCTCCGCTCGCTCCGGCTGCGCCTCGTGCAAGGCCATGTCCAGAAAGACCTCGAGCTTCGGCCATCGCTTCACCGACTCCACTCACGAGTCACTCGACTGGATGGAGGTGATCGAGCAGTGGAGTGGCTCGCCAGGCCAGGAAGGATGAAACACTGAGAGGCGTGGAGGTCTCCAGGTGACCAGGTGGAGGCCACTCCGTCGCGCTGTGCCGCGACTTCCGTCTGAAGCCGTCGGAGGCCGTCGGAGGCCGTCTGCCTCTTTTGAGGCCACGGATTTGTCCTGGTTCCAAAGGTCCAAAAAAAGAATCCAATTGGACTTATGTCCATCTTTGGGTCTCGAAATCGGGCATGAGACTTGCATGAGTCAAAAAGTAAAATGGATAGGAATGCCACAAATTCAGGCATGTTAACTGTTCACTCTACAGTTCAGGATGTGGTTGGCTGTTACCTGCCGTTAACATGTTTAAACCCTTTATGGCCCTTCACTGCTTTCTAATGTTCAGTCCAAACCTGCTGATGATGGACGGGGAAAAGAGGAGTGTTGACAGTCGATCTTTTCACGCAAACAACGAATTTTTTTCGTTTCTCGATCCACTCTTTTGTACACTCTGAGGAACACATCACATGGAAGTGGAGTTCACCCCTGATGGTAGATAAAATTGTTTCTTTGAAGGATGATTTTCCATGTCCATGTTAGTGAGTCGGAGGATAGTGAGTGGATAGCAAGAACCAGAACCAATGCGAAATGTGCCTATATAGCCAATTTCTCGCACCTCCTCCGATGCTTTCGACCCCCCCTTCCGAAACGCCGATGCGTTCGACAGCGCCGACGACGCCGCTCTGCGACAGCTCTTGCTCAGCTCAGCTGCAGTTAGGGGCACCGACAGGGCGGAGGTGCTCGGGAGCAACATCGGAGAGCCCCACATCACCTGAGGACGACGGGCTTCGAAGCCTCTCCGAAAGCCCGGAAAAAACGCCGAAAGCGCGCGATGGAACGCGACAGGCATGCGATTCGGAGCAATAAGGCGGGCTTTGGAGCCCGATACGAGCTTCCAGTTTTTGGGAAACAATGGGCCAGGTGAGCGGTGCCCATAAGGATGTTCCAGATGATTGAGGATTGATGCGCAACAACTATTCACGTTTGCATCCCAAAAACAATTGCCCTCCCTGTATCATGAGTGAATGATTAGTGCATGCACCCATCAAAGCAAGCAACTTCCACCGGTCGCTGCCGGGTCGACAAGCCGAGCATGACCAGCTACGCGACGCCTTAAGCCAGGCCTAGAGCCAGGCCCTAGGCGTCCAACATCTGTCACCATTGAATTCAGAGGTCTGAAGTTCTGAGGGGCAAAGAGCCGAGCTGTGTGAGTCAAGATCTTTATACAAAACCAAGTCAACAAGCCTGATGGTCAAATGGAAACCTTCTTGGGCAACCAAAAACCGTCCAAAACCCAAAAAGGCAATCTCAATCGGCTCGGCTACCCCTTTTTCAAAGCTCAGTGAGCATGCGGCTCCCCGTGGAAAACCTCGAACTAGCTGTTGACCCATCCGATCTCCATCTTCTCTGGCAGGGCGCGATGCATAAGTAGAGCGCCTCGAAGCGGCCGGTCCGGCAGCGGCCGGTCCAAGCCGAGAAGGGCAATCGCAAGGTGCTACAGAGTCATTGCATCTAATTTGTACTCATCTTTGTAGAGGGTAGGGGGAAATGGGTTTGGGAAACGGGCCCTCCACGCCTCGACGCCTCGACACCTCCATGCCTCGACGCTTCGTGGCAATGCCAGAGCTGACGCTGCGCCTTCGACCGCAGTTCGTAACAAGTCCCGTTGACCACCTGTCAACGTCATGTTGGCATCCAGTGGGCAGGGCTCAGGACTGAGGTGGCTCAACAGGTCACCATGTTAGTATTGGAAAGAGGGAAAGCTACTTTATGTTATGGAACCAACCGTCCTGGTAACCCTCCTCAAAGCAAACAAATCGTGCTGCGGGTCTGCTGTCACAGTCACCATGGCAGCAACTGTGGACTGGAAATCTCCCGGCAAGCGCGCGCCATCGGCGTTTGCCGTCGGAGTAGCATGGACACTTGTGATTGGGAGGGGTTGGAAATGTTTGACATAGAACTGGGCCAGCTTCTGCCTATGCTTGCCATAGGAATCCGTGGAGCGCAAGACTCGGACAGTGTCCGCAGCAGATAGACCGTGCTCTTGGCGCACTAGCCCTCTCAATCTCTGGCATACTTTCGGATTTCGCCAGAGATATTGAGATATTGGTTTCAGCAAGGACCCGTCGGCACCACACCACGCAAATGCGACCTTATGCACCCTTACCCACCTCTGGTCCTGACAATCAGGGTACGATGTTGACTCAATTCAGCATACATAAGTTAAATGTGCGTCTGTGGTACACATCTGTGGCAAGGTTTTGTATATGATGTCGTAGGTTTTGGCCCTTAAGTCCTTGTATTGGCAAACTTGCAGAGGGAAGTCAAAGTTCCCATCAAACCTGATTCCCTGACCATTCATCAGCATTTGCCTGACGTGTTGGTATTGGGCCAAAATCGGAAGCTTGGCTGGCATAATAGAGAACAAACGAACCATTTCCCCAAAACAGCAGAAAAGGAGGGTGCAAACATTGCGAACTTCAACCAACGCACCAGTCTATCAACACCTCGACTACCAAGCTTGCAAAAGAACACAAGGCATAATGGGGAGATCAGGGTGAGACCATTTTTTCCTGCGCAGCTGCGGCCAAGTTCATTGCATAACTGTCAGGTTGTTTTCAATAGAGGTTTTCTTCAGTTAAGTCTCACTTCAAGTGGATCTAGTTAGATGAGTTCCTGGAAAAACCATGTGTTTTCCAAGATATCCTGCGCAGCCTGAAAAACAAAACGGCTCAGCAATGCTGCCCCATTTTTCCATATCATTGACTGATCTGCAGCACCAGCAATGCCAGGCCACCTGCAGAGAGCTTGCCAAACAATACATCAATAATTACAAAGCCCACTAACTACATTGGACCAGCAGGCCCAGAAAGGAACAGAAATAGAAAACTTGCTGCCTTTTGGACCTGCAGGCCCAGAACAAATAAAAATAGAAAAGTTGCTGCTTATATTGTTCAATAATTGATATTGATTGATAATTGAACTCATATATATATTTTTTCCCGTTATATAGTTCATCATCGCACAGCAAGTGGCTTGAGTGGCCACACACCCAGGGACTTCACCCCACCCCCCCAAGACATGGTATCCACAGCAAAGCAAGTGTCCCAATGACATTTCCACAGTCAATTCCCACAGCAAAGTGCCAAGCAGCAAGTGTCATAGACCAACCAGTGGAAAAGAAGAGAAAGAGGAAGGCTAAGGCTAAGGCCAAGCCAAAGCAAAGTCCAAGGCATAGGGAGACCGATTGAAATCATTCATCAAGAGGGCACAGATGCCCAGAAGGAGGGCAGCACAGAAGGAGAAGGATGAAAAATAAAATGAGGAAAAGGAGAAGGAGGAGCAGGAGAAACAGGATCAGGACAGCATCGAGATGGAACCACCACAGCCAGACCCACCACAGCCAGAGCCTGCTGCAGGAACGGGGGAAGGAGAAGAAGGAAGAGGAGAAAAGGAAGGAGAAGGAGGAGCTGAGGCTTCAGGGGCAGCCCCTTCCAGACCAAGAGCACCTAGGAGAAGATCACCAGAAGAAATTGCAGCCACCTGGGTGCAAATTTGGACTCTCCTATGCAGATCACAGGTTTACATCGGTGTGGAAGAATGCCCATGTGGAATTGAATGCCCCCTACAGCCAGAAGGGGTTCAGCAGGACACTTTTACCACATCAGACCCTGGCAGGAGGCATTGGTCCAGGCACATTCCCACAACTGGGAGAAGTGGAACAGGCTGAAGGATCAGTACCCTCTTGGCGGTGATCAAACACCACAAACACCAGGACAGGTGCCCAATCCCAAAATGTAAAGAGCCAGTGTGTGGCACCACATGACTGAAATAGGGAGTGCGGTCCTGGAGTTGGCCAAGTGTGATTCGTCTTCTCCATCAGCTTCTGAATTGACAAAGGCAATGCCCTTGATGGACCCTGTGGCCTTTGAGTCCCATTGTTGCCCCATCGGCATTTGCGATGGAAAAACAATTCAAGGTCACATGGTCTTTGGCGGCTGCTGGCATGGCTTGGCAAATGTCGGTCTTGTAGGTTTGGGGGGGGAAGCGGGTGCGCAGGCTGCTCTTTCTGTAGCTCTGCGACTTCGCTGCTTGCGCCACCATTTCTGCATGAGAGCTCGACGCTTTGCGGCTTCATGGCTTCGCGGCTTCGACGCCTCCACACCTCCACGCCTCGACGCCTCGACGCTTCGCGGCTTCGACGCTTCGATGCGCGTGTGCTTTTACCCGAACACCTGCAATGTCTTTGTATATCTTTCTACATGCTTTCTTTCCTTTTGAAGGAGGTTAAAAACGAGTTGAAACGACAAGGGTGATCAAGGGGGCATCTTTCAAGGACATCCCTAGGCTTCCAACCACCATTAATTTAATAGGCTTTACCGAATCAACTAAGGATTTTAGACTACAAAAACCAGGTCAACCATTTTTTTAATGGTCTTGGAAGTCTAGGGACATGGATACAAAATGTTACAAGTGAATCCCCTCTTCACACATGGCTTGGACAGTGTTCCGAACCCTTTTCTTCGAGACCACGACGGCCGCTGTCACATGGCTCAAGATCTTTTGATGAAGCCTGAACACCCAGACCAAACGATTGGGACTGGACTCTAGCTCCTACATGGACATGGATGGGTCATGTTCAGGGTATACATGAGTATTTGACGATGTCAAATTTTATGGATGGTCTGGGAATGTCTGGGACACTCTTTGAGGAGAGCATTTTGAGGCTCAGCCTTCTCACCACACCCGTCATGACGGGGCGAGACAACTCACTTCAGGCTCCCCTTCAACATACCAAAGAACGTGTTGTCAGGAGGGTTGTTGTGTTCGTGTTGACTGTGTTCACCAGGTGTTCATTCGTCCGCATCTGGCTTGCGAAAGTGCCTTGCGGTTCCATTTCACACATTTGAGAGGGAAAATGGTCCGGCTGTCCCGGTTCACAGTGTTCACACCTGAAAAAGCGTGTTGAACGAAAACGAAAAAACGGCTGCCAAGTCCATTCATGCTGCTGAGCTTTGAAAGAACCCAAGCCCATGGACGGTTGCTAACTGGCCTTTCTCAAACGAAAAAAACTTCTTGACCTGCAGAAACCGTTGAACTCCCTGCTCACCACAGCCCTTGAACTCCCCCATCCCATCCCATCGGCGAAAGACGTTCACCACAGCAGCCACCAGGGCCGAAAAGCCAGTGCCCAGCCACAAACTCCACGACGAAGGCCTCGATTTCTGACAGCAAAAGCGGAGCTCGTCGGGGAACAACTACTTCGTATACGTGGTCACCGGAAGCCATCTAGGCCCTCCGAACTCGTGTGATCCAAGTGCCTTTTGGGTCAGCCAACAAAGACCATGGCACATGATCTTTGCCTAGGGCCTAGCACTCAGTTTGCGCGTCACTCAAGTTTTGACCCACCCATTTTGGCTGATCTTCAAGCCGATCTCGTGTCCGGGTCCCCAAAGGCCGAATGTCATGGATCTTGACCCTTGAGCACAGCAAGAAGTGAATCTCTCAGGGTAAAGATCCATGGAAGTTCCAAGGCTTAAGGTCCAAGTTTGGATCATCACAGCTGCTTCAACCACCAGCAGCAGCTGCTTCTGGTCCAAACCCTTCAATCACCAGAAGGCGCCCCAAAACGATCCGTATCATTTGGATTCATTTGGTCTATCACACCAAGAGTCGCAGGTTTCCTGGTGTTGTGTCCAAGTAGCCACTGGAGGTGTTCGATGCCACACAAATGTGCCAGGAAGACCAAGGGAAATCCCAAGAGCAAGTGCCTCAGTGCTGACTTTGGGACGGTGAATGTGCCAGAATGTGCTGTGCGAGGTGAAGCAAGGTTTTTCAATTCAGGATGAAGGCGAGAATCAGGAAGAACCGACAACTAGATGGGTCTTTCCTTCGACTTTCATACCTCTTTGTCCACACATGTCCACACCACCTGTGCCGTGCCGGCGGAAAGAAGAAGCTTCGTCCCCGCTCAGCCGCCGCTTCAGCGGCCGCTTCAGCTGCCGAGGGGCCAAAGGCTGACCCAAGCGCCGAAGCCGGCCAGGAAGGAGACGTGGGACTTCAGATGCCCGAAGCTCCAGCGGAAGAGCGTCTGAGAGGAGCGGATCGCCGTGTGGGAAACCGATCCGGTGAAGGAAGCGCCGGGGGTTGCATGAGGCACTTCAGGTGGGCAAAGGGGTTGGAGGAAAGGACATGAAGATGTGAAGGTTGGATATTTCGTGATTTCCAGAACCCACTTGTTGAACCTGATTCTTTCTGTGTATCAACAGTTCACCTATGTGAGGTGCACACCAGTAACTGAAGTCAACTGTGAGTCAGGTACCAATTGTCCGTCAAGCAAGATGTGAACCAATTCTTCAGATACCCCAATTGTTGCAGCAGGGACACATCCAAGTGCTTTAGGCCGTCACACGTAGGGTTCTCAATGGATGGACCGGCAAAGAAAGCGGCATGAGCAACTATATAACAAAAGAGCGCCTGATGTTTCAGGTGTGGGCTCCCGATCAAACCTCCTGGCAAAACAGAAACTTGCTTGGTGCTCATATCATCTATAACCTCTTTTTCAGTCCAAATCTCCTGGTCCTGGTCAAGTGAGACTTTGTTCTTTTTCGTTACTCCCATGTATGTTGAGAGTTGTGTAAGATCCCTGCACAATGGCTCACCATCTGAAACAGCTATTTATGACCCCTGAATATTGTTGCTAAGGGCAAGTGGTCCTGTACCCATGCCTACTTATATAATACAATACGTCATGAGTCGTTTGCTTACAAACAACGAATTAGTGGCAACCCAGTCCCGGAAGGCTTCCAAATCTCGTCCCATGCACACCAAAAAAAAACGGGGGTGAGGTAACATGCAGAACATGCTGGGCCTGGTACGCCGTGTACCCCACGGCTGCCAGCAGTGCCAAGAAGGTCCCAATGAGCGTCGAGCGTGCTGAGGTTCGACTGGTGCCTGGCGCGGGTTGGTAGCTGCTGGCGCGGTGCGCCATAGCGGGTCTCAGAAACTCGAGGTGCTGAAAAACTCCTGATCTTTAAGGCTTCCAGTGCTTCCAGTCTGTCTTAATCAGCTCAACAGTCATCCTCAAGTAGGTAGGAGTAGGCATAGACTCAAATCAGCACGCACCGATTCTGATGGCGCCACCAATTGGTATGGATCCGATCCAACTCACGAGAAGCGACAAAAAAGCCACAAGCACCGAGAGCACCGAAAACAACAAGCACACTCCCCAAGCAGATTTGCGTTTGAACATGCCCCATGAAAACCCCATGAATTCGCGTGCCATCCATGAATTCGCGTGCCAAATCGTGTTGACCATGAAAAGCACACGACATCTACCATGGCCAATCTACAGGAAATCCGCCCGTCTTGAGGATCGATGATGGCGCCACATGGCTTTCCTGTCGAGCTTTCTCGCGGCATCGGCGCCTGAGAAAACGGCGCCACTGGCCATGAACGAGCCTGTGGCGCACCGGGGGTACGACTGCGACTGGCGCTACGACGATGTTCGTTCGTTGACTTGACGACTGCCCCTTCCAATAACACTGCCATGAAGTAACAGCAAGCTCTTCATCTTGGATCAAGACAACTATTCTATCCCAAATACTCCATGGTTATTGCATGTTACTGCATGTTTGCCTACATGGGATTCCTGAAACCACCCCAATTGTAGCCACTTTTTGCCCTTTACATCGTCTCGCGCTTGGGGTGCTCCGACCACCACACTCGCTCCGGACGTCCGACCGACACGGATGACCGGCCCTGCCTAGTAGAGACAGCAACACTCCCAGAGAACGGTCGAAGGAGATCACCTGGCACCGTCCGTGCAAGCACGCGGTGCTGGTGAGCCGGCGAGCTCACACCCGTGCTTTCGGGCGTGGGACATAGGAGCAGAAATGACGAAATGATCTCTCATGCCGCAGAAGAGACACACGCACACGACGCCCGACACTCAAAACCAGTGGATTTGTCAGGACGTCAAATGGTCGAACCCAGGACTGATGTTGGTCAACACGGGAATCTAGTTTCGGGATGCTTGAGGCTTTCTGTTGGAAAGCCCGAGGTTGGTTGGTTGGTTGGTTGGTTGGTTGGTTGGTTGCCAAAGAGGCTTTGGCATGTTTACTACATGATTGTCTTGTGCTACGACAAGGTCGACTTGAGAATCTCTCGAGAGCGTGGGGCTTCGCGCGTCATATGACGCTCGTCCTGTCTTCCAGACTTCAAGACGTCTTTTTTGGAGTCGATATCTACAGTTCCTTGGGCCAAGAAAGTGAGGGTCATCAAAACATCCGAGCATTGGAATTGGCCCATTCCTATGAAGGAACTCCAGTTCCAGTGGGCACCGGGGTTGTTACACATTAAACATGTATAGCAAACTCATGGCAAACAGCTGCTCCCTAGTCTTCGTTCGGCCCTCAAGCACACAGTTTCGTAGTTGTAATGGCCACATCCGCCGCAAGAAGCTCACATGACCAGGTATTTTGCTCTGGCTGCTCTGATAGATTTAAAGTCCCCCCCAAAAACGGTCCAAACCCCAGCGGCTTTGACCGCTCCAAAAGGCGCGGAGCGCCTTCTTCGCATCGCTCCCATCGCGCCGCGAGCCGCGAGCATCGAGCGGCCATCCGCTCGCCTCATCGAAGAGCTGCACGCTGCAGAGGTAGACCAAGGCCTTCAGACACGGAGTTCGGACCGACGGTGAAAGAGCTCCGGTGTGGCCGATGGGAGCGGAAGAAACCTCCAGCTGAACAGTCGAAACCTCAAGCTCGGCCTGAAAGAGTTTGAACTAATGTTTTGTTGTTTTTTAATGACTCTGACTCTTGATGTAACTATCGGTATATATATGTATATATCAGGAACAATGTCTCCAGGACTGACCTTGAAACCTACCATGGATCATCGAAGTGCCAATGATCCACCGACAGGTTCCGACTGCTTCGGGGATCGTCTTCAGTGTCCACCTCTCGCCACCTCACACTGAGTTCCTCTGATGGAGCTTTAGAACCAGAAGGAACTTTTTGCACGCGGACCAATGAAGAAGACTAGATTGATTGTGGCTATGCAATTTCCGGCAGGAGAAGTGGGAAAACACTAATTATGCACTTACTTTCCAGCCCAAAAAGACTCTAAAGCCAAGTCATGGGGCTTGCGGGGTATCTCGGAGTCCTTCCATCTTGGAGTTTTTCCATCTGCTTTTGGTCATCCCCAAACCCTTCGACGGAGGAAGGGAAACGATGGGGGTACTCACCATTAGGCCTTCTTTCATGGCGTACTCACTGGAAGGATGGCCACCACTGGTTTCGTGTGTATGTTTTTTCTTGGATTTGCTTGAGGAACCGGAAAACAAAAATAGACCAGATATTCACCAGAAAGGTATTCACCTATAGGGAAACAACATCCTAAACAAAACCAGGTTTTGTATGGGTTGTTTCTCCTTTTGATTTAAAAATAACATTCACAACGTCTATGTTTTCACTTCTTGCAGCGGTCATGGTGCCGATACATATTCTATACAAACTATCATTTGGCAGTGAGTCAAAACCGGGACACCTGGGTTGACCACTGAACATGAACAGACTGGACGACCTGATTGGCGTCGGTCAACCTACCACAATGAAACGGTTTCCGGGTTTTGATCCACAGCCATTGAACAGGGTGTCTTTATGTGTCTTTGGATAAGCGGTTCATTTCCTCCTCCTCCGGTCTCCTCCGGTCTCCAAAGCACCAGGACCACCACGCCCAGGCACCACGGAGACCTGGAAAACCGCATTGGTGAGGCGCAAATCCACATAGGTCGCACTCAGGAGCCACGCGTAGTTGTATCCCATCAAGAGAGCTGCCTGGGACGCATGGTTTCCGATATGCTCACGCAGGGTGGACTCTGCCAGGGTGGGTTGTGTATGGTTGGGCTGGTCGTTTCAACTCACGAACAAAAATGTGAGTCATCGGGTTTTCAATCTCGGGTTCTCAATCATCGCAAGTAGAGGTCGAAATTAGAACCATCTAAAACCACCACCCATTGATATTTGTCCACATGGTAAAGCCCGAACATGATCCTCCCAAAGCACTCCTTTTGGGTTCCAAAAAAGGCCCCAGCGGCAAAAAGCAACGAAGCCGTCTTGGTCTTGGGCGCCTCCTGTCCGCCGAGCTGGGCATCGGATGGTTAGTGCATGTAGCAGGGGTCATCTAATGTGGACTCGTGATTAATACAACCCCTCAGGCTTGAAGAGGGTATAATGCATGTCCGGAGTCTGGAGGGGGTTCCGAATACATTCTATAAGACTCCCTTGCTCAGGCTTCCAAAATGCCTAGATTTCGACCCGTGGAAGCGGACGTTCAACATGTTTCGGAAAACGAATCCTCAAAAAATATCAAGAAATGACCTTCGCAGTCGCCTCCTTGAGTTTGGGACATCAAGGGCATGCTTTCACAGAGTTTGACAAATGTAGTGGCACCACGGCTCCAGCGCCTAGATTTTGACCCGTCGACTTGGACTCCTCTCCTGACTTTGGGACCACAGGGGCTTGTTAGTCACAGGGTTTGACAAAACTGGCTGCAATGCAATAACAGACTAGCAAAAAGTCTGTGCCCCTGCAACCTCCTGCATTTCAAACCAAGGGCAGCCAGGTGGAGAAGGTAAAGCCAAGAGGAAAAATGCAAAGACATGGACTGATCACGCGGGCAGTCGTAGCGCCATATGCTGACCACGCCAGGCTGAGAATCAACATGCTAATCTTCATGACATCACGCTTCAAAAAGACGATGGCCAAAGAGAGCAGTCGAAGCTGCTTGAAGCGCTGGGGATGATGTCGATCGACAAATCCATCCCCTGTTCCTTGCACCATGAACGGAAAGCACAGATCATCCAAAGATGGTCGCAGCAGAAACGCCAATTGCATTATATTTTGCTTTGGTAGCGTGTATATGCACACATCTTGCTTTTAAGTTGCCTGGCCTCAAGCCCGGAGATGCGTCAATTCAACTCTCCCTCGCCCCATGCGGAGTACAAGTCGTTGCCTCACATGACACGTCGTGCTAACACGAAGCAATCGGAGCAACCCCTTACTGTCGAATGCGAGAGCCTGCAACGGGCGAGCGGCCCTTCCCTCATACAGGGTGCACGGGCAACCCGAGGCACGCTTCTGAGAGGGCACCGTCATCACGGTGCTGGAATACATGACCAGCTGAAACACCAAAATGTGTTCATTCTATTTCATGCTTTATCTACATGATTTCCGAGTCCTCGCAACAGTACTCAACGAAATTCACAAAAAATCATCTGCTTTGAACTTTGGATGGTCAAAGCCGTCTACCTGGGTCGTAACCATCTCTCCACGGTGTTGTCCACCCGAGGAGGTTCCACGCGGCAGGCCTGGCTGGTGAACCCGAAGTGAGGTAGAAACCTTGGACCGGCCCGACATCTCGTGTGAGACGCTGTGAAGGGCTGGTGGGAGCCGTCGTTCCACAGGCTGAGTGCCCGGGTTGATCACATTTAGGGAGGTAAGAATGGCATGTCGTGTGAGATGGGGCTTAAGCTTCTCTCAATGTCAGAAACCCCCCACAACTGGCGGAGGGTTCTGCGGCCTCGCACATGGAAAATGGAGGCAATGGATTGGAAGCACGGCACCCCTTCGTGCTGGGGGGTTGGGGGTGTGCATCGGGGTGCTACTGAATGTTTAACCCACAGCTGTGAAAAATAGTTTGGCGAGCAACTAGGCGTTGAAATTGCCCCTCTCAAAAAAAATAACTCATTCAAATGGGCGCCGCAAGGGAAAGCCATTCTTCAGTCAAGCACTTGTCAGATCGATTCAGATTTGCATGAATGGATTGATGGATATGAATATGATTATATGATATATATGGATGAATTGCTTTGTTGTACATCGATTGAATCTGACAGTCTTGGACTTCCAACTCCAAAAGAAACCGCCTTAGCTTGGACTGACTGGCTCACCACAGCCCCCTGCACCCTCAAAAACACCCTCCCCACCCATCCTGCACCCTCCTGGGTTGGACCCCCCCTACCTAATCCGCCAAGTGAATCCAAGTGACACAAGACCACCCAAATGGCAGAGCAATAAGTTCAGCAGCGGCGAGGCATGAGAGCCCTCCTCCCGCTGTAAGGCCTCCACCACCAGCAACGATGCGCCACAGAGAAGCACCGCGCGACGAGAGATCTTCGGTGATCATCGGCACGAGAGATCATGTAGACTCTTGATTAATAATACCCCCAGATGAAGAGGACTTTTAGTCCAATGTGGGATGATGGTTTATTCATAAGTCAAACCATCTATTAGATGATGCCATCTAATGGGATGGTTTAAGCCATCTAATGGGATGGTACAGATGGCTTTGGGATGGCACCCATTAGATCCCATTACCCAGACACTCCATGGGACTGCCATATATGCCGATCAATTGGGGTGGTGACAGGGAGGTCAATTGATTGGCATATATGGCAGTCCCATTAGTCGTGTCTGGGTTAGTAACCATCCCATGAGTCTACAGAACAGCTAGCTCAGCGCCTCATGGCCCCAAAAACCTGAACGACCCGGACGTCGTCGGTCCGTTCCCCCTGGGTGCCATGAACCAGAGCCATACCCCCTGCCCTATAGGGATCTGTGTTCGTACCTTCCTATAGAGATCGATGAGCGAGACAGGAGGGGGGGAAGATTTCCGTTTGGGTCAACGGATGGCAGTCATGGGCCATGGAGTCTTCGAGGCTGGCCATGGTGTGGGGAAGGAACGACCTTGTTCCCGACCAAGGCCCTGCAGATACGTTACCCACCTTCCAGGTTTCCTGGCTGCCTTCGCTCCGTGGTGTTGTTCTATCGGTGCACCAGAATAAAGATCGGTGGACCGACAGCCTTCGACCCACAAACCATGCGGTCACCGACAGCCGGGGCACCCACCCACCTGCAGCAACTCTCCTGATGACTGGGCACCGCTTCGCACCGCTTTTTGCGTTCGGAGTCCAATCCAAGGCGGTGCGTCCATCCAAGGACTAATGACGCTCTGGTTCAACTCTTTTTGTCTAAACATATAGTTTTCATACATGACTTAGTTTTCATGGTGGAACAAGCATTTCTTGGTCTGTTGGCTGTTGGTCTATTTCCCTTCTTCCAGGGAGTCGAACGGGGAGTGTCCCTATTTGATCCTAATTGAATACGCACCCAAATAAATGATATACTTGACATTACTTGACTCGACCATGAATTTGTGCTTGTCCCACAGTGAGAGATTCTTTGCCTTTCGATTCCGGCATCTTCTTTGGGGAGCACGTGGCAACTTCCTTGAGGATACAAAAGCAGATGAAGAAGTGGTTCACGACCACCTTGTCGTGTTTATAGTTCTCAGAGCATTCTCATTAAAAGAAAAACTTTGAGATCGACTATTGATTTGCCGGAATCATTGTCTCGCATTTATCTGTGTTAGTGTTTCTTTCTTAGTTGTGCGTGGTGTCCTTGTTTACTAACATGCACCAACCGTGGTTGCTTCTAGATGAAACGTGGCTTAGCATTGTGTTGGGATGACTGTGCAATCATTAAGGGTAAGTTTAGCATTGTCGGATAGACAGACTATATATAACTCCCAATATCGTATCGTGAAGCCTGTTCAAAGTCCAAAGTAATCTCCCACTCATTACTTTTCAAGCTGTTTTTTCTTTGACTTTACTTGACATTTGTACATTGTATGATGCTTGCTTGTAGACTCTAGACATTGAAAAACAACACACTTGGCCAATGCACGCACGCCCCAAGCCCAGGAGATGCATGAATTTCAGCCAGAAAACCCTCACCCAACTCCATGCCAGGTGGTGTGGGTTCCGACAATTGGACTCCAACCAACCGTGGGCTCGACCCATAGAAAAACCTGCCAAACACTCATGCCAAGGCCGCCAAACTCCTAAGGCCTGACAGGGATCTGAAACAGAACTGACTGGTGATTCCTGGTGATTCCTGACTCGTACGTTGGAATGAGGGTGGCTGGATCCTTTCCGGTATGAGGTGGTTGGAATGAGGGTGGCCGGATCCAATGTGGGTGAATGATGTTGCAGGCGGTCTCCCTTCTTCCCTACTTGTCGTCGCACTCAGAAGAAGTATACTCTGCTCACTGTCTGTCGACGGGGGTCGTCTCGGCATGTGTCCGTATGGTCGAGTTCTTCCTCGAAGCGGTCTTCCTGGAATCATCCAAGGGGCCATTGAGACAGTAGAGCACGCAGGACAAAAGGGCCAAAGCCAGAGCCAGGTTCCGCATGGCTTAGCCTGGCGCCATGGATCAGTCACTTGTTGCAGGAAGAATGACGAGTTGGTACCTTTACTGGAGAGGGAACCCCAACTGATGGTTCCAAACTGATGGCAGAACGTAACATCCTGAAAAAGCATCGCATCTGGAGCCCAGGATCCAAAGAGAGCATGTTTGCTCAAACGTTTTGAGTTCATGTTGGCTTTCGTAGACTTCGGCATGCTCACAGGGCCCAGGGCTCGGTTGGCTCAAACCGCGGATCCGAATCAGGGCGACCGATGAAGGACTGCGACCAGCGATGGGTCTTGGTGGTCGAGCGGTCATGTTTTAAGAATCCAAGTGACCAACTGAATAGCCCCCTAAAACTTCCAGAGCCTCAAAAACTAAGGGTTTTGAGTTTTGAGGGTTACCTGTACAGATGTGGTTGGAGGTGGAAGAATAACACCTCCTGGTTGTATCAGAACACCCCAGCCTTCTGCCATGTCATCTGCTGCACCGCCGGAATCAAGGTCGGTGGACAATCCGAACACCCCGATGATTTGTTCCTATGCAGATTCGTGCGAAGAACCAAAAAGACTGAGCGGGATGGGGCAGTGAAATAGACGGTCCCAAATGATTGGTGTTTCTTCTTCTATGTTTTTTGTGGACAACCACCGCCATGTTCTTGCGGAGTCACTGAGAGCCCCCATGCAGAGTCAGAGCCCCAAGTGCGCTTGGAAACAACATGTGTCGCGGAGCCTGGTGACCAGGGCACGACAAAAAGACATCACCAGGTCTGGTTCCATTCTGCAGGGCCCCCAGGTCTTAGGGTCCGGTTGTGATTCATGCTTGTAGAGCCCGAAGAAATGAGGCTTGGGTGCCGAGGAGTCTTTGTTGAGAAAGCCAAAAACTTGTGATATGTGGGTGTGTACTCGAAATGGCCCAGAAGGTTGATTTATATATACAGGCGGTTTCCTTGGTATGGCAGCAAAAAAGTTGTGCAAAAAGAAATAAGAAGGGGAGACTGAGGGAGAGGTCCCGAGGTCCCTCAATCATGTCGATTCCATCACTGAAAAGAAGGTGAGAAGGCGGTCACTCATGTGTTGATACAAATGGTTTGGTCAGTTTGGTTGGTCGGGCAGGGCAGGGCTCGAGGTGATGTCCGTCCAGGTGATGTCCGTCCAACGACTCTGGGTCCGGAGTCTGGCTGCCAATCTCCGTGGTGGCACAGGATGGTGTGCCTTTCTCGCTGGGTCACAGGGAGGTTGGTGCTTGAGTTCAGAAAAACACCCCACATCAACATCAACGTGTGAATTGGCCTCTTTGAGCTATGCTGAAACAACTCAAGAAGTCATCTGCAGTATCTTAAAAGCCGGAACAGGCTACTCCTGACAGGATGTGGACTGGAAAACAATCCAAAAGCGACGCGGCTCGACTCGACTCTCATTTCTCGAGGCTCATGGGCCGCCCATGGGGACTCGGCTTGGGGTTTGCAGCTACGCAGCAAACCAACCGATGAATCCTGAAAAAAAGAAAACCTCCTTTTCAATGACCTTTGTGACATGTCCAAAAAGGAACACCACCTGCCAACGCGTACCTGTGACATACGTTGCGTACGTTGCTCCCCCAACCTCTCCCCACTCGGTCTCACCTTTTTGGGAGTCGTCGCGGTGCGCGCGGCCATTCCACTGACCCCTCCCTGCGGTCCGGCGGAAGTTTTGCAAGACCGGGGGGGTGAACTCCACCTCCCGTGTGGAGGCCATCGCTCTTAGGTTGGAGGCCATCTCTAGTAGGTTGGAGGCATGTCGGTTGGATGGAGGGTAATACTCTTGAAAGAAGACACCTTGCACGGCTTGTAGCTTGATGTCACCTCCCTTGTGCAGCTCTTCCCCAGCTGCTTTCTGATCTTTCTTCTGGGCAGGTGGTATTTCCTTCGAATTTGCCAGAGCAGGGCGAGGTTCTTCCAACAGTGCATCTACTGTACACTGAAACGGAGTCCAGTGAACCCCTCCTCAGGCATTGGCTGCAGTGGCACCTCCCAGTGGAGCATGTGGCACGTGGGGTTGGGGTCCAGGGGTGTTTCGATGGAGCTTTGTGCTTACTGATGTCTGTCTTAAAATTGTGTCTAATCTTGAAACTTGAGCTTCTTGTTCTGTGGATTTGAAGGTCCAAAGGCATGCCCCATATTGCTGTGCTTGGGCAGCGCCCTATCACACTTACAACTCCGCCCAGTTCATTGCTGGGAAACCTCACGCAGAAGTCCATCGCTCCAAACTATTGATGAAGAAAATACTGCAAAACCATAGGTGCATACTGTCAACTGCATTCATCTGTTTTCAAACAAATGACATTACCCACCCAAAGACCCCTGAATACTATGAACAACCAGAGGGGCGAGCCATAAGTGTGTTGAAGTAGATTGTGCACCTAAGATATCCTTCTTTTCGCTGCATTAGATATACCAGCCGCAACCTGCCATGAGGTTTCCATAGGGATTCCGACTGTGCTGTGTCGTGGATCTGACCTTCTCTGTAGAACAACCAACGTCTATATCTTTTGCGATGCAAAACTTAGAGGATGGGCATGCTGTCTTTTTTGAGAGGAAAATGATGATGGTGTTGGAAGAGCCTCATCACCCACCCGCCATCAGTGGTTACTGTAACAGTTCCACTGGCATGGGCAAGAATAGTAACATTTGAACTACCAGGACCTTCCAACAAATGGTTTTGGACACCCCTTAACCTCTAAGAGGCTATTCATAGACACCTCTTGGAAGGTCCTGGTACAGGCTGGAATGGTGATGAACAACGTCTCCCAGATCCGGACACGCGCATGGGCGGCTTGCGCGATCTTTTTTCTTCAGATCTGGCGATCTCGGCAGCCCACAATTGCGGTACAACATTGAGGGGTGCTGGCCACACAGTACGGTATGGCGTCCTTCGTCTGATCCAGGACCTGACCACCAACACCGCTCTTTTCTGAAGGAGGGTTGTTGAAAGGGTGGAATTGCGTGAAGAAACACAATCCTCAGGGTTTTGCGGTGTTGCCTCACGATGAACCCAGCAAAAAAACACAGTGTCTCGGCTTCGAACCTTGGGATTCTGGGGGGCTTGCTTCGTGGTTCTTTTTCGTGTACAGACCCCAAGCTTGAAAACCGTGTACAAACAAGCCATGCTGGATTCCGCAGATGTGCCTTGAACTGCAAGAGCCTGGCTATGGAACTGTATGAATTTGTCGACAAACACGACCCAAACAAATCACCATGAGGCAACCAAAACATCATCTGCAAGAATCTTCGCACAACAAAAACGAACGGAATCAGGTGGTCGCGGTCATGTTGGACTTTGGGGCATGCATAACATTGCACAAGTAAACTAGACCTCCTCTCCTCAGTGCCCAAAGTGACTTATGACTTTGCAGCACAAACAGGTCGTCTGACCGTGTCGACGGGACCGTTCGACGAGCCCTGCGTGTCATTTGCCGGCATCAAAAACCACAAACGGACGAACCACGAGGAACAAAAACAAATGAATCGGATGGGATGAATCTTTGTATGGCCCACCCCGCCCTTACTTCATTAAGTAGGTGCCGACTTTAACAAGTGAGGGCCAAACAAACTACTACGCAACCTGTAGCTAGGACGCGGGATTTGGTTCCTAGATTCATTTCTGACGAATCGCAATCTACATGCAGTTGCCGTCTGCTCTCCACCTGAATCAACGCCCTCACTCAACGCCCTGTGTGAAACCTCGCTTCAATATGGTGGATCGATGGCAGTGAGCCCTGCATCGATCATGGACAGTGGACAGTGGAGATCATCGATAGTGGGAACCCACGGACCCAAATGGTCCCACAATGACCAGTGGGGGGCCACTCCCAAATATCTTTCTTGCCCGCAAGTAAACACCTTGTGGAAACGGTCTTGTAAGATATCATATGCCATTCAACCAAATTCCAGTAATCCTATCCAATCCTATCCTGGACATGGGGTGTGCCACCTGTTTCATCGTGGATCGGCAGACTTCTCCGTGGTCAGTTTCAGGGTCCCTCTTTAACGGCCTCTCCGAAGAAAAGGAGGTGGTTGCAGTTGCAGCTACTAGGGACCTGGCAAACATCACCCATTGTTGAATACATGGGGATGAGTCAACACCTGCCCTGGTCACCATGTAGCTCGACCTTTTAGGCACAGCTTTTTATGGAGAGTTGGGCTTCCAACGGTTCTGTTTTGATTCAGCTCAACCAGCAACTCTAAAATGACCAGCTCTAGGCTCTTGGGCTTCGGCGAACAGCCGCCTGGACAAAACTGGAGCACCTAGCTCACACTAGGCTCCAACAAGGGCACGATGCTGGCAAAAGCGGTGCCGAAAGCGGTCCAGGTTGCTCTTGACCTTTTACAGGACCAATTTTAGGAGCACCAAGCTCATCCTCAGTGGACAGGGATGCGTAAGCAGAAATGAGTGCAACCAATTCCACGCTGAAGGCTCTGTGAAGGAAATCACAAGGTCTGGGTGATCATAGCACCTCTCCTGCATGACTCGCATTTGTCCCGCATGTGGAGACTCTCATGTTGTTGGATTTGTGACTGGGCCATCCGTTCTGGGTGTGCTGGCTGGAGATCCCTAAGTATCTGCAGTATCCTAAGTAGTAGTGGGCTGGGTAGTCCAGCCAGGACAGTCCAGCCAAAACAGTCCCGACAGCATGGGCCTTCTCTGGAAAGGACTCGACTCGCTGATCTGGGTCTACCATGGTCTACCTGGGTGGATGAGTGAACAGCTTACAATATAGTGATTGACGGGTTCATTCGTGGCTGAGAAAGGCAAGGTTTGATCAAATGGAAGAGAATGGACAGGCCTAGACAGACCCCCCAAAAAGGAATGGTCAAGCCGTCAAGCAGGAGATCCAAAGATCCAGGCTGTCCTCCTTGGACCGAAGAGACATGGGCGTGTGTTCGATGTAGGTCGCACCGCAACAATGGGTGTCGAAGGAAGGGTGACGAGGACTCACCGTGATAGGTGGCACATGGTTGTGTTCTTCCAGACCAACAGATCCAGCCTCCCACGCCAAGCTTCACCACCAGTGGCTTGCCATTGAATCCACCTGGACATGGCATGCCCCCTCTTCTTGTGATATGAGTGCAAACATCGTCTTCAGTGCAACCACACCCACACAAACTAACACAGCAAGCTAGTTGTGCAAGCTACGTGTCCGATCTACTCACTAACTTCACCCTTGTGTGTGCTTCCACCAAAAAAAGAAACACGAAGACATATGTGTCAAAAGCACCAATGAGTCCAACCAACCAACCAACCAATCAACCAATCAAACCCACCAACCCACCAACCCACCAACCCCCACCCAGCTGGGCGGGCACGCACCTGAGATGGGTGCCATGATCGTCGCCGGGCCCCCTTCACCATCGCAGAAGGCACACGAGCTGCGAGGAGTGCAGCGGCAAATTCCACCTTCGGCAGGACAGGAACTGAAACCCCAAATCCCTAGGGCTCCAGTCGTACCTCCTGAGGTGCGGTGCTTGGACCCTCCAAACCACCCCGCTGGCACCCACCCCAGCCCCAGCCCTTGAGCCCTAGGGAATAGCGAAAGAATGGGTGATGTTCACCTCAGGCTCTGAAAGACCGAAAATCGCAAAACCCAGTTGAAGGTGTTCACGTCGCCCAGTGCCACAAAAGGACGGAAAAGGGCCACAAAACGCAACGACGTGGATGTCCAATCATGTCAAAGAATGTAACCAAAAAGCTGGTATTTTACATAGTATGGTTGTATCACATTAGTTGTATAGCAGGTGCTTGTATCACATGAGTTGTATCTATCACCTGCACGATGTGCGACACATTAGTATCACATTAGTTGTCCCATCGCGGCCCATCTTCCGGTTGGAGACAGAATGTGGATTTCAAATCTTCACAGGTTCCCTTCCAAAAACAAAACCATGGGTCTTCTCACAGTCCATGGCAGTTGACATAGATGTTTGCGCCATAGCTCGCTGGGAACCTTCGAATACCGGTTCTTGGTGCCTTCAACAAAATGACCCATGATTCTGCACATACGAATGGATGCAATGTCCATGTGGAGTTTTTCAGGCTCGTAGGAGTAGATGGGATGCCTCCGTCTTGTTGGTCTAAGAGTCTACTACCCTGGCGGTTTACTTACGGTTTACTTACTCCCTGAGGTGGTTTTGCCCTTGCTGTTTACTTACTGTTTGGGCCAAACCACGACCTAAGGGAGTAAGTCAACAAGTCATCCGCCGTGTCCGACAGCGACCGTGTCCCAACAACTCAAATAAACCCTGGGAGTCCAGTCGACTATAATTAGACTGGTCCCCCTGCGAGTTCGGGAGAAGGACCAGGATATACAGTTTAGAAGGATACACCTGTGACTTCCCTGTTGTGTATGGCTGTATAGTTCGGGAGAAGTCTCATTTTGTCGTGAACACTTCGAGGAGGATAAGGACCGACAGGTCTGGAAAGGGGACCCCAAAAAGGAATGACCTCTAAGTCTACCTACTCCAGTCGGTCCAAATATCGTCGAACTGGATATCTGGGGTACTTGATACTCAGGCCCATCATACTGGTCGCAGCAGAACATCATCTTGGCTTCCAACAGTCTCCTTCGGTATTAGGCCGTTTCCCAGGTGTCCAGACTGCATGTTCACCACCCACATCTGCTGAACTTTGACTGATTCACCGCTCGAAACCTCAAAAAGACCATGTCGCCAGACAAATCCATGATCCATCTCATTTCATGGGCTCCAGTGCCCGACATCCCCCCAAAAATCCGCCCGACCTGATCTAACCTGATCCACCTCCATCCGTTCCCAGCTTCTTCCGCCCCCCTCCGGTGCCACCGGCGCCGCCGAGCGACAATTCACCAGGTCCGGCGACCCGCAGCTCGAAGCGCCCGCGCTGGGCCGCTGGGGGCGGGACCCCACGGTCGCAGGGCCACCCATGCCGTTGCACCACCTGAGGGTCGAGCTCTGGGTCACTGCTCCGGCGGGGGGAAAGGCGCACATCAACCGAAAGGCGGAAGGAAAAGGCCAGGCCAGGCCGGCCAGATCTGGATCTGCAGAAGTTCTTAAACAGGTCTCCTGGGAGATGTTTGTCGTGCAAAGACATCTGCAAAAACACTGTGATGTACAGTGCGGTTTTTGGTTGAAACTGAAACATCACGAAAACCTAGGTTTTGAGCTATTGGTGGCTTCAATGTTTGTTTGTGCAAAAGATTATATATCAAAGACACTGTGCTTTACAGTGGCTTTTGAAACATACAGTAATAACAACCTAGTTTTTGAGTTCTGTGTTTGTTTCAATTTGTTCAGACCAGGCCTACAAAGGTTTAGAGGGAATACCAATAGGAAAAAACTTTAAAACCAAAGTACATAAAACCAAAAAACAATGTTCGGTTTTTGGGCATTGGCTGTTTTGTTGTATTTTGTTTTTTGATGTTCTCTCTAGGCCTTTGTAGAACATCAGACTCTCTTGGTGATTTGTAATTGATTTCTTTCCTGGCACAGTTGCATAGTTTTCAGGGCTTGTACGACGGTTTTTTCCGTGTACTGGAGCCACTGTGCTTCGGACAGGGTCGGGTCGCTCAACGTCCCTGCAAGCTGTTCGCAGTCTCAAAAGGCTTTTCAATTGCTTCAGTAGGGTCACGTATGTCTCGCTTAGCTTTTTCTATATGCTCAAATGTGCCGCTTCAACCTTCACAAGGGTTATGTTGCTTTTTCGTTTTTTTTTAAACATTGCCTTCTTAAACAAATTAAGGTTGAAACAAAGGAACGCATTACTATAGAAGCTAATGAGCTAGGCCAAGTTGCAACGGCACCAATTAACTTCTATCCAGGCAACAAGTTATTCCTTCTGGCGTGCTGTCTCAATAGGTGTTTGAATTGCCCCAGTAGGTTGTATCTGTTGTTCTACACGTTCAAACGTGCCTTAACATTAAGCACCCAAACGGAAGGCTGCTTCAATGGCTTCAATCTTCACAAGGCTTTTTCTTGGTCAAGGTGTCCTGTTTGGCCTAGCTCTTTCAATGAAGGTAGGGACCTAGACTAGGCACAAGAAGATTGATTGAATTCTATGTCAAAGCATACATGGTATGTATATATACTGTAGCTTTCGTTTTTGTTGTCTTGTCATGATTCTTGTTTCTCTTGGTTTTGACAAGATGCCAGCCGAAGCCAAAGTCACAAATAAACTGAATCTTTGGATTGCATCTTGCCTATGAAAAAAATACATCAAATGAGTTAAAGCATAGATGGAAGAATAGAAATAACAATCATAACATGTAAAGTCTATGAGAAACAATAGAAAAGCCCTGTGGGATCAAGGCAAAGTTGCTGAGAGGAGAGTGTTGAAGCTAAAGTCTTCATATCTCATATCAATCACTCAAAAAGAGCACGTGGTGATGAGAGGCTACAGCCTTTCAAGATTCAAAAACAAACAGGTGTTACACATTGACATTGCATATAGAGATTGTGCACAGGAAGATAGGAACAAAATGCGTTTCGCCCAGGTGTCAGAGCAGTTGTTGAACATTTGCGTGGTATTTATATACAGTGTTTTTGATAGGTTTAGAATGGTTTATAGAGCTAGTTTGTGCTCTCCCAAGCACACCTGCTCTCATCTAAAGCCACATTAAACCAATCACCCTCTTCTCTACATCCAGTATTAAACCCATGGTAGATCCAGTGGATGGCTGTGCAAGAATATGTTCCTCAACAGTAGCAAGGAGAAAGCAGAGACACTTTACCAGTGCACAATCTTGGGTATCTTGGGTCAAGAGTCTTGGTCTCAATTAAACTGCGCACCGTCAGTCTTCGATAGTCCACAGTCCACCCGTTTAGTAGGTCGTGGTCTCTAGAGACCACGCCTAGGAGCCCCCTTGAACCATCGGGTCCGATGCACCTCTGCACGAGGAATGGAAGAACATCGACACTTCTTAAGGCAAACAAACCAACTGGTGCACCGGTTCAGGCAGTGAAAACCACTGGGGCAGTGAACATGGATGAAGTGAAGCGGTCCAGCCGAACCAGATTCTTCACCTCTTCACCTCTTGCTGTGTAAGATCCGGTTTCAGGGACCCAGTGACCCAGTGACCCGGACATTCGAACACTCAATGGATCCCAACATCACTCCATTTGAACTCCAGCTTTTCAGGCCACTTCACTCCCTGCACCACTCCCTGCGCCACCTGAAACAGGCCTTCAGATTTCATGGTCATCCGAACCACGCCATGCGGCCATGCCGTCTTCAGTTCCCAGGACACCTTCCTTTCGGTTCATGGGTCTCCCTGCCAGGGACCTGCCAGGGCGTTTCACCTTCCAGGCCACTTGCAGGTGGTGGCTTCCACGCACTTGCACACGCCACAATCCACCTGTGCCGACCGGTCGTCGTCGCGTCGAGACGCGGCGGTTCTGCCCGCTTCTGCCGTCCACGTGGTGGGGGACCATGCTCCGCTCAGAGGGGGTGGAGCGTCTCGGACAACGAGCAGGGGGCCATGTGGCCCTGCGAAGGGTTCTGAAGAAGCCGTTGGGATGGCTGAAGGCTGTAAAACAGCCAGTTGGAATCGAATGTTCATGAGTTGGGCCTCTTTTGGTACGTCTTTTCATGAGTGAAAACAGTGGTAAAGAAAATAGGTGAGCAGACGCCATGAAAAACGCCATGAGGGCTTTTGCGAGAAGCCAGGCTCTCTTTATGGAAACCTGCTCCAAAACGTGCATGAAGAAAACCATCCCCATAAAAAGAGCCCTAGAACATTTTGGACCACCAACCACCCAAAATATGGTCTTTTCCTATCAAACCAATGGTCATGTCTGAGCTCTAGGTGTTTATATACATATATGTCATCCTGGAGTATATAGATAGAATATGGGAAAGTCCAAATGATAGGAAACTGGATGAAACTGGTCATGTTTTCGGATTGGCTCATATTCAGGATAGTAGGGCACCTTCAAACCACTTCATCCCGGCCTTGCCACTTGGGCACACTCCCAAGCTGCGGCCGGTCTCGTTGAACGAGGATGCGGCCACAAGGTCAAGCTGAACCCAAAGGAGGACCACCAAGACGGAACGGATGGACATGGCTGGAACAGCGTCTTCTCAGCAACGGTGGTCTCGGGCCAAAATCTGGTCAAGCGAAACCTCCTGGGCAAGCTGGCAGTTGGGCAAATGCTTCAGAAAGCGGCAAGATCAAGGGATCTCCAGGTATGAGTTTTCAGCACCCATTTGCCGGGCATTTTCTGGTCCAAATGGCTAAAGCAACTACCCAAGATCAAAGATACATATTAAAAAAAAAAAAAAACAATCCGTTCCAAGATGGTACTGAATATGACTGGTATACTTCCCCGAGCTCCGTTCCAACGCGTGACACCTGCGGTCCATCCCTTTCATCCCATCTTCCACGCGGTGGTCCGGGCGCTGACTCGGTCGAAGGGGCGATCGGCGATCGGCGGCAGTGGGCCGTGGAAACAAACGAAACGATGAGGAAGACGTGCAGTGCACCTCTAGCAGGGCATATGATATGCTGATCATAGGTCCTACACAAGGAGTCCACCTCTGCCACCTCTGCCGAAATAAGTTCAGAGGAGTCCAGACCTCATGTGATAGTTGACTCCACAGCCGGGCAGGGCCTCACGCAGATCTACGTGATGACCTTGATCCAGTCGTCATCCAGCAGTCCTCCCTCCGCCCTGTTCGCGGCAGGAGGCTGCCGGTCGCATTAGTTGTAGATCTGGTCAATAGAACAGACTGACACACAGCATCACGGCTCACCCTTCAAGGCAAACTGCTCGCTGGGTTAAAACTGCTCTGACCTTGCTCGGTCAGGCCCCTCGTCGAACCAGGGCGCTCTGACGAATGCCAGAGACAGCAGGTGGACGAGAATTCACAAACCGAACATACCCCAAGCTTTCCCGAACGAGAACGAAAAAAGGACCTACACCGAGTAGAAAACCCTTTTGGTCTCAAGATTGGAACACACAACCAAACTTAACATATATAGAGACTATTCCTTTGTTTACAGTATATATATTTTTAAAATAATCATGTTTCTAGATGAGAATTCACCCGCATTGGCTCATGTCATCGGTGTCAGCGTCGATTCAAGGCCGGGTCTGCCCTCCCCATTTGGGCCGGCCCACAATAGTATGACTGCAACATGAAATCCGTATGGTGGCCAGACCCACTATTTGGGGCCTTCCCGTTTAGGTCATACAAATCAAGAGAAATACATAAAATAGTGTGACTGTAATTAACATGTAATCAAAGATGATGATCATCGGTCGCCTACAGTCGGGGCATGTTCAGTTCCACCAAATCGATCAATGATCAAAAGGAGTCATCCTGATTCTCCATCTTGTTGCAGCTGTTCAGTTATGCGAACAGCGAACTGTTACTTGCTTGTTCACCAAGCGCCAAATGCGCCATTCCAAAACGCCAACAGCATCGCATGACCAAAATGCAACTTCTCAACCCAACAGTTTCACATTCGCAGGAGCATGGGAGTTCGAAGGTCATTGATTACAATGGCCGATTACCATTATCATCTACTTCCACTTCTATGATGCTTTAAGGGATTGAGGGAGCATAATCCTCATTGCGTATTCTTCACAACAATCTGGGACTTCAGAGTTTCTATCACTCTCCAATGTTTGGGTTTTGGATGACATGCCAACCACTGTATCAACCCATGTCCTGAAAAGCACATTATATTTTCTTTATAAAAAAGAAAGAACAACACAGGAAGGCTTCGATTACCTTGCTTTCAGCAAAAATAGAGGATCTGCATGATCTGCAATACCAAAAGCGATGCTTTGACTCGTTTTGAAGGGACATCTGGCCAACTGCTTGAAAAATCGCTGACCCTGAAATGACCTCTGACAAGGGTTGTTGTCCTTTCCAGGCCACTTGGGTCAGGGCATGAACCAAACCACAGCAGCTTGAACAGAGCAAGTTGTTCTTCGCTGGGTTCTGGGTCTGTCTCGGAGGCCCAAGGGGGCTACCGAAGAGTGCCATTAAGCATGGCTCGACCTTCCACGCCAAGGCTAAGGCGAGGTAGGTGAATCTGTAATCCAGTTCCCGGGCAATCCCGTCCCATCCACCAGGTGATGACCCTGCAAAAACTCATGCACACACCGACTGGATCCGACTGGGGGGCGCTGGAAAAGGAGAACATCCATGTGTGTGTGTGTGTAGCTGCTTTATAGGGAGACCGACCCCCTGCAAGAAGGACCCCCTCAAAAAACGGAGTATCAATTGAAGTATCGACCAGTCTACCCATTCACCCTCCCTAGTGAAAAAAAGGCATCTCTCTGGGCCTAGCGCTTTTGGCCCCACGCTCCACCTCTCTGAAGAGGCGAAAATCAAAGATCTCTCTCCCTCTCTCTGACAATGTTGACAATCCCTCCTACCTGGCCAAATCGATTGGCTTTCGCCCAAGTTTCAGCGGGACTGGAGAACGACCTCGCTTGGCCAACACCATCACCATCGCAGGACTGGAGCCACCGATCGGGGACAGTTTCACCATTCGGTCACCAACAAACGGCTTAGGGACCTCTGCATCCACGTGTCCAAAATCCGTCTGCAGCTCTTCACCAGGCGTTTGTTCGATCGTTTTCTGATCGTTTTCACCTCTGCATCCGTTCAATCAAGTCTTTCTTGGCGCTCGTGGTCAGTTCATCGAAGGGGCTTTCGATCGAATCCGGAGCCTTTCCCCGTTCTCACCCGACCAGTCCGGACACGCTCCGATGACGTCCATGCAAGCAGTGACAGCAGTGACAGCAGTGACGAGATCATGAGTTGTAGCCAGAATCTCTGCAGTGGATCCCAGTTGTTATAATTTTAATCACTTTGGTTTTGGTACTTCTCGTTTCGCGAATTCTATCATGTTCTGATTTCTAGACGGGTTGAATCGGACTGAGATCCAATAGATTCAATGGCCGGAAGAGGCTGCGGTACTACAGCGCCACTCCGTTCGCGGACGATCCGAACCTGGCAAGTCAACCTTCGTGTCTGGCGTCAACCTTCCTCCAGGTTTGACTAGTCCGAACGACCGCGAAATGGTACCCCGAGTGGTGGATGATGACTTGTGGAGGTCGGGAATGGTACCCCCAGTCAAGTGGATCCCCTTCTTTTGTAAACCAGTGGATGAGATACACGAATTTCCCGACGGTTATTACCGGTCTATACCCAGACACGACCCATGGGACTGCCAGTCCGGACTGCCAATCAGTCCAGGGGTGGTCTTCCTGGGGGTCGACCTCTGGGGCAGTCCAGCCTGGCAGTCCCAGGTCCGTGTCGTGGGACTGGGATACAGACAGAACCCGCTCTCGGACCTTCATGGTGATGCCTCCTCTTCGGAACGGTCGTACGACCTCTCGGGTGCGAATCGCAGCGAACGAAGTGGGTTTCTTCGGTTTCGCTTTCCTAGCCTTCCGTTCGATCCAGACTTCACGCGTAGTCTAAAACTCTTGGAAAAAGAATTGCTATGTTGTGATTCAACACATTACAATAGATCAATATATAGATCAATGGTGATTGGAAGCGTTTGGAAGCCTAGGGCATTGATACAAGCGCTCCAGGAGACCAGAAACAAGCCACCCTGTTCTCCGAAGGCCCAACAGGTCCCTCTGGAGCACAGATGGAGCTGAGAAGGGACACCTTCATCCATCGTCGGGAGAAAGACTGACATCAAATACTCGTGCCACTCGTAGGGAATGAACCGAAGTTTCACCACCCCTGTAGGCCCCTCTGGATCCAGCCACCTATATTCCCTACGAGTCGCACCAGTCAGCATCAAATACTCAACCATTGAGCTACGGCCATTTCACCTGGTAGACATAGACAGCGCTCATGTACCCAGCACCGACTGGGGGGACTCATGTCGCACGAAAAAAGAGCGGTACCTCGCGGGACCTGGGGTCTGTGGTCTACCTTTGAGTGTACACTAGTGGTCTACCCCTTCGAAGATGGATTTCATCCAATAACCACCCCTTGTGTGGTGCTGGTATAGTATCTATGTGAGACCAAACAAACATGGCATGGCATGTGCCACACGGCGAAGTGGGAAGCTTTCGCGCGCAAAAACAAATTCACCCAACCCCGTGTGGCGTGTTTCATGGCGTTTCGGGGCGTAAGAGATGGGGACACCCGTTCATCTCCAAAAAAGGGTGACCCTGCAGATGATCCACTGAACTCACTCACTCTCCGTTCCTGGGGAGGTAGTGATCATGCACCCTGCTGGAGGGCCTCTTTTTTTCCCACTGGGACATCCATTTGGGAATGTTTGGCCGTAGCTCAATTGGAAACTATGTCTGGTTCTTTCCGGAAGGTAAACATCACGGAAGGAAGGAAGGAAGGAAGGAAGGAAGGGATTACTCCAAAACTGATTTGTGAAAACCAACCCAAAATGCTAGAAAGGCTCTAGACCCCCTCAAAACTCTGAAGCCCTTCTCATGGCCCTTTCTTTGCGGTGGAAGAAACAGCCATGTGCTTCGTATGAAAACCAAACCTGGGTCTTAGCACGCGAAGGGTCCACACGCCGGGGCACCCCCCATGATCTTTGTTCGGCATAGCGCCAACAGGGCGGCTGGTGAAAGCGGACTGTTGTTCTGAAGCTTCGCTGATCATGCCATGCCAAGAACACCGTTGGCATCTTGGCACTACCGTAAAAACCAGTAAGGAGGAGTAAGGAGGGCTTACTGAGACCACAATGAAAAAAATTAATAGAACATAGGAGTACGACAAGACAATAGGATTGCTGTAATAAATACGTTTCACCCTCGGGGGATGCATCAGTTTCCAGCTCTAAACAATCGGCCTAGAGGTGATACTCACATGATACTCACCTCTCTGACCAGGATGACAAGTACCTGAACAGGCCCAGGATCTAGGACAGGAAAATGCAGGCCCAGCCCCTCAGGATCGGGTTGAACGGGTTGAACTGTTGACTGGGGATTCTTCAACTGGTGACGACCATCGAGATGTCCAGCTCTGTTCCTCCAATCTGTGTCTCCATGATCGGGAATCGTCGCACATCTATCTGGACAGCCCAGCAACATTTAAAGAAGAGCAACGTCTCCAAGCAGCATATCAAATGTTTTGCGCAAAGGAGGGCAACTTGAGCCACTTCACCAAAGCAACTATAGTCACTAATTAGTCCAAGAAGGTTTGTGGTCTGTGGAGTGCAGGGTTGTTGAAGCCAAGAGCATTTATCCAGT